CGCTTCCCCCGACGACTGCTCCCCTGCAGACTCTCCACATGGACGTGTGGGGCCCAGCCCGCGTCCGTGGACAGGGCCGCGAGCACTACTTTCTTCTGGTTGTTGACGACTACTCGCGTTACACCACGGTCTTCCCCTTGCGCAGCAAGGGGGAGGTCCCTGATGTTTTGATCCCTTGGATCCGCGCTGTCTGTCTCCAGCTCCGCGAGCGGTTCCACACGGACCTTCCAGTCCTGCGTCTGCACTCTGACAGAGGTGGTGAGTTTTCCTCCGACCTCTTGCGGAACTTTTGTCGTGGGGAGGGCATTCTCCACTCGTTCACGCTTTCGGCCTCTCCGCAGAAGAATGGGGTTGCTGAGCGCCGCATTGGCTTATTCATGGAGGTCGCTCGTACCTCCATGATCCATGCGGCTGCCCCGCATTTTCTGTGGCCGTTTGCAGTCCGGTACGCTGCGCATCAGCTCAACCTCTGGCCCCGTGTCTCCTTGCCGGAGACCTCGCCTACACTGCGTTGGACGGGGACGGTTGGCGATGCGTCGGTGTTCCGGGTCTGGGGTTCTCGTGCCTTTGTCCGCGATACGTCCGCGGACAAGCTCTCCGTCTGCGCCATTCCCTGCGTCTTCCTTGGTTTTCCCCCTGAAGCGCCTGGCTGGCAGTTTTACCACCCCTCCTCGTGCCGTGTCCTGCCCTCTCAGGACGTCACGCTCGACGAGTCGGTTCCCTTTTACCGTCTCTTCCCCTACCGCACTGCCCCTCTCCCCCCCCCGCCGCTCTTCCTCGCACGAGGTCCTCCTCCGGTAGAGCCCCTCCCCCCTCAGGGTCCTGCTCCCTCAGGTGTGTCTCGAGTAGACCCTGTCGAGCCTGTCGAGGTAGCTGTCAACTCTGGTGCTGCTAGGGGTGCTGCGTCTGGGGGTGCTGAGCCTGAGCGTGTGGAGCCGGGGGGTGCTGAGCCTGAGCGTGCGGAGCCTGGGGGTGCTGAGCCTGGGGTTGCTGAGTCTGAGGGTGCGGAGCCTGGGGGTGCTGAGCCTGAGCGTGCGGAGCCTGGGGGTGCTGAGCTTGGGGGTGCTGAGCCTGAGCGTGCGGAGCCTGGGGGTGCTGAGCTTGGGGGTGCTGAGCCTGAGCGTGCTGCGCGTGGAGGTACTTTGTCTACTGGAGGTTCTCCGGGTGCCTCGTCACGGTGGGAGACTCTCTCTCCACCGCAGCTGCGCGAGTGGTTTGCTTGGCGCTGGAGCCTTCGGAGTGACGCTGCTAGAGCTGGGGGGCCTGCCGCTGGAGACCCTGGAGCTGGAGGCGCTGGAGCTGGAGGTACCGGAGGTGCTGGAGCTGATGGTCCTGGAGGTGCTGGAGGTACTGGAGGTTCTCCGGGCGCCTCGTCCCGGCGGGAGCCTCTCTCTCCACCGCAGCTGCGCGGGTGGTTTGCTCGGCGTTGGAGTCTTCAGAGTGGCGCTGCTGGAGCTCGGGGGCCTTCCGCTGGAGGTCCTGGAGCTGTAGGCCTTGGACCTGCTGGTCCTGGAGGTGCTGGAGGTACTGGAGCCGCTGGTCCCGGAGGTGCTCGTACTGGAGGTGCTGGAGCTGCTGGACCTGGTGGTGCTGCAGGTGCTGGAGCTGCTGGAGCTGGAGCTGCTGGAGGCACTGCAGCTGGAGCTGCTGGAGGCACTGCAGCTGGAGCTGCTAGAGGTGCTGGAGCCGCTGGTCCCGGAGGTGCTCGTACTGGAGGTACTGGAGCTGCTGGAGCTGGAGGTGCTGCAGGCGTTGGAGCTGGAGGAGCTGGAGCTGCAGCTGCTGGAGGTACTGGAGCTGCTGGTCCCGGAGGTGCTCGTACTGGAGGTACTGGAGCTGCTGGAGCTGGAGGTGCTGCAGGCGTTGGAGTTGGAGGAGCTGGAGCTGGAGCTGCTGGAGGTACTGGAGCTGCTGGAGCTGGAGGTGCTGCAGGCGTTTGAGCCGGGGGCACTGGAGCTGGAGCTGGTGGTGCTGCTGGAGTTGGAGCTGGAGACCCTGGAGCTGTAGGTGCTGGCCTTGGGGGTGCTAGTGCTGTCGGTGCTGCTTCTGGAGGCACTGTGCGGCTGCGACCATACTTCGTTCCACTACTTCAGCAGGTTCTTGGTCTCCCGCCTTCTACTGGCCTTCCTCCTCCCTTACTGTGTCCACCGCCTGACCAGTCGCAGTTGCAGTTACGGCCAGCCTCCCCACTGCCTGCTCCTTCTCCTTACACTGGGCCGACAGGAGGTCTTGCGGAGCGTCGTGAGCCTGAGTCTCGTCCTGCGTCGCCTGTTCGCGCTGTACGCACTGATCGTCGTGTTCCGCGTCCGCGTCCTCCTCCTGTCCCCGGACACGCACTCCGTCCTTCCTCTATTCCACAGCGTGTCCCTCTGCCGTCTCCTCCTACGTCCTCTCTTCCTGACGTTGCTGACCCGCCGTCAGACCTTGCTCGTGCAGCCAGTCCTACTGTCACACGTCTTCTAGCCACTGTTGTCACTGGCCCTTCGTTTGAGTCCTCTGCTGCGTCTGCCCTAGTTGCTGAGCTTGTTGACTTTGCTGCCGCCTGTCGCCTCGACTACGCCGCTAGTCTTGTTGCTGAGTCTGAGTCTGACTGTCCTCCGTCCGTCGGGGGTGAGTGTGCTCTTGGCACGGACGTCCTTGAGGACAGGCAGGAGGACATTGAGTGTTTTGCAGCTGCTTTACCTCATCTCGTGTCCATGCTGATTGCACCTGAGGGAGACCCGGATGCACCAGACATCCCGACCCCGTGCTCTTACGCAGAGGCGATTGAGGGTCCCTACTCCTCTCAGTGGCAGACAGCCATAGACGCAGAGATGGCTTCCTGGAAGTCCACAGGCACCTACGTCGACGAGGTTCCCCCACCTGGGGCGAACATCGTCAGTGGCATGTGGATTTTCAGGGTGAAGCGGCCGCCGGGTTCTCCGTCTGTCTTCAAGGCGCGCTACGTTGCATGAGGCTTCAGTCAGCGACAGGGAGTTGACTTCTTCCATACCTTCTCCCCTACCCCGAAGATGACTACTTTTCGGGTGCTGCTGCACGTTCCCGCTCAGCGTGACTACGAGCTTCACTCTCTTGACTTCAACACAGCCTTCCTACAGGGCAGCCTGCACGAGGAGATCTGGCTGCGCCGCCCACCTGGCTTCACTGGGTCGTTTCCTGCAGATACCAAGTGGAGCCTCCGGCGGCCAATCTACGGTCTCCGCCAGGCGCCTCGCGATTGGCACGACACACTGAGGACGACGCTTGCGGCTCTTGGGTTTGCTCCTTCGACTGCTGACCCGTCGCTGTTTCTACGCACCGACACTTCTCTGCCGCCGTTCTACATCCTCGTGTACGTCGACGACTTGGTCTTTGCCACTGCTGACACTGCTGGACTGGCCTTTGTGAAGTTGGAGTTGCAGAAGAGACACACGTGCACAAAACTGGGTGAGCTGCGCAGCTATCTTGGCTTGCAGATCACCCGGGACAGAGCACAGCGCACCATTACCTTGACTCAGTCACACATGGTGCAGCATGTCCTTCAGCGCTTCCGCTTCACGTACTCCTCGCCACAGTCCACTCCTCTGCCTACCGGTCACTCGCTCTCAGCTCTGCCTTCGGATGAGTCCGTAGAGCCGAGTGGCCCGTATCCAGAGTTTGTGGGCTGCCTCATGTACCTGATGACCTGCAGTCGACCTGACCTTGCTTATCCTCTTAGCATCCTGGCACGCTACGTTGCGCCCAGGAGACACCGACCAGAGCACTGGGAGGCCGCTAAGAGGGTGATGCGCTACTTGTGCAGTACGTCGGACATGGGGCTCGTGCTTGGAGGACGGGCTCGAGTTGTCCTCACTTGTACCGCAGACGCTTCTTGGGTTGACGACTTGGCTACGCAGCGGTCGTCACAGGGTTACACCTTCACCCTTGGCTCCGGCTCTTTTTCGTGGCGGTCTACCCGCTCGTCTTCTGTTCTCAGTTTCAGTTGTGAGGCTGAGATCTACGCAGGGGCCATGGCTGCACAAGAGTTACGCTGGCTCACCTACCAGCTGACCGACTTGGGAGAGCCGCATCGTTCTCCTCCAGTTCTGTACGTCGACAACAAGGCCATGATTGCCTTGTGTCAGGAGCACAGAACGAAGCACATCGCTCTGCGCTACTTCGGGGGAGAACAAGAGGTCACAAGACCGGTCAAGAAAAGCAAAGCAAGCTCAGGGTGGATCACGAAGTCACCACGCATTCAGAGCACAAGCAAATGGCTACAAGGCCAGATGCAGAGTTATATAAAGGAGAACAAGCAGTACAGTGATCACAACCTAGCAAGTGTAAGCATGCAGGTATAAGTATATAGATCACAGTACAAGCAAAGTCAAGAAGTGAGCAAGTGAGGCCAAGTAGGCACAAGGCCTAGAACAGTACAGAAACGCTGATGACACAAGGCTGAAGTGCCTTGGTGAAGTTATCAGCTGTGTTGGCCCGAGAGGCCACGTAAGCAAGACGAAGATGACCACGCTGCTGCAACTCGCCTATGGGGGTATGTCAAATTTATATGCTGCTTATTGTGTAGGCTATAGTAGGGTACCCATCTTGCCGCTAGTTCATTCATTCTCGCTTACTGATTCTGACAGGAGCTTAGTACAAAAATTATATAATCGATATATAAATGAATAAACGCGAAGGAAAGGCCTGAAACTCGGAGGTAAAGATTAACGCTGAATGAACTAAATATGAACGCTGATTGAACTAAATATGAAGCCAATCAATGAATAAACTAAATACTTGGCTGAATAGCAGGGCTCCACTATCAAATGCCAGGGTGTATACACCTGACATGTATCATCTGTTCGTCAAGGGCGTTCTTCTTATCGAGGTAGTGGCTTCGTTCAGCGTCAGTCGCACGTGTGCATACACACGTCACATCACTATTTTTTAACGCTATAATCACACGCGCACCACGTCATTCGCCACCTCTGCTTACTCAACATTTTTGCCATCTCATCCTCGTACCGTACTGTATTTAGACAATGTTTTGGTTTTCACTGTACGTAAGAAATGCAGAAATGTAAGGCCACATACAGACCTTACTGGCCCTGGAAGGTTGACCGATGATCGGAAAGTTTGTTTTCCCGCTGCCCATGTCGTGTTCATAGTTTTGACAGTACAGTATTTTACCCGCGAGCAAGGACCTCCCCCTCTCCCAAATTTCGGAGCCGGTAAACCTCTTGTTTGTTTTCTGCTATTCCTGGTGATGGTCTTAGGGTACGTTCTTAGCCTGTGTCAAGTTTCCTGACACAAGGCTATCGACGGCTACGATCTTTCCACGTCATCATTAATCAAATCCAAACCCTACACAGCTTCATGTCAGCCTGCCTGACACAGGCTAAGAACGCACCCTTATCTTATGTCGGTTTAAAAAAGCCTATTTACCCAAGTAGTCACGTCCGAGAGACGAGCTACATCTCACAACTTTGTTTTCTCAGGAATTGAGATTCGAAATACTGTAGATATGTGTGTGTTACAAACATTCAGACTGGAAAAGAAGGGCTAAAAACGTCTTCTTCTCTCACCTAGCTTGCGTGGCACATTCATTCCACCGCACACAGGCGGGGCCCCGCCCGCGACGAGCTCCGCGCCCTAGCCTTGTTGTCCCCCCAAATCCTTCACATCACACCCGTCTTCTCGAGTAACTTGTTCGCTACATTTCTCCACACTCAGGCAGGGTCGACGAAACAAGCCATCTATCCATTGCGTTCCAAAGAGTCGCCGTAAACATATCTGAACAGAACACCAAAAGCGTGCATCTAGGTAATCTACGTCCAGGAATCGTGCCTCTCATCTCCGTCACGCCTGCCATCCGAATAATCTTCTATCATCTTCGCGCGCAGCCAATCCAGTGCACCGCGGTGCGCTTGCGCGATTTCCACTTCTCCTTGCGAATCTCGGTCATTGCGGGTCACATTTCTTGAGCTTCAGCCCCACCTCAAGAAAAAGAATGAGCCTCATAATAGGAGGTGCTACGACGGCTGTAGCACCCACCCTCGCCTCTCTTTCTGCAGCGAATCTGTCCTCTCTTTCCTCTTCTCCCTCCACCTCTTCCCTCTTCCCGCACCATCCTCTCCACCCCCACAGCCACCACCCTCCCCTCCCGCACACCCATGTTCTCGGCCCCGCATCGCGGCGCGTCGTCGCGTCATCCTCCGCTTCCCGCTCGGCGCGCCATGCCGCCGCTTCACCCGCGCCCACTCCCCACTCGCACCTCCACTCCCCGGCACCTCTCCCCGCACACTCCCCCTCTCCGTCCCCGTTTCCGGAACACTCGCCGTCCGTGAACGCGCCTCCTCGCAACTCAGTCAGCGCAGTCAACGCCTCCGTCAACGCTGCCGTCAACGCAGTCGCATCGCCCTCCGTCTCGTCGGACAGGCAAACATCCGGCATCTCCGGCGGGATTTCTGGAGTGATGCCGTCAGGAGTACCCGCCGCCATGGACGGCAAGCCTGCCGACCGTGAAGTTCTGGCCGGCGACCTACTCTGCCTGCCGTCGGAGGCGCCGCCGGTCGACGGCAACGAACACGGACCGCCGTCGCCGCCACCGTCGACGGCATCGTCGCAGTCGAGCCGCTCATTCGCGGCCCTCCACGTGGCAGATATTTTAAACTTCTTGCACGGTCCTCCCCCATCGGTCGAAGGGGCACCACGTGTCCCGGAGCCGTCCCCGCGTGAACCGGCGGTACATACGGCGACGGCGGCAATATCGTCCCCGTCGGCTGTATCGGCCCCGCCTGACCTAGGCACTGCTGCCGCGCCGCCCGTGACGCAACGAACGGACGTCGCGGCGGCGGGCGGCTCGGCGTCGGGCGCGGGGAAGTGGTCTCGAGTGTACAGCCACGTGAACGAGGAGCGGCCGCGCGAGTACTGGGACTATGAAGCAATCCACGTTCCATGGGGGTACGCGGGGTGGGGGTACGCGGGGTGGGGGTGCCGTACATTACATGGGGACGACGCGAGTGCGCGCTGTGTGAGTGTGCGCGCAAGTTCGCGTGTGTGCGTGGTAGTAGGAGCTAAGGAAGGCGATAGTTGGTGCTAGGAAGCAAGGGGCGATGGGTTGAGAGTTTCGTTCCCCTCTGCCCCCTCCCCCACCACTCCCTCCCTCCCCCCCCCCCCTTCTCCCGACTCCCCCTTTCCCTCCACTCCCCCACCCCCCTCCTTGTACCATTTTTTCCCGCGCGCGCCCCGCAGCGAGCAGGCGGACTACGAGCTGGTGCGCAAGGTGGGGCGCGGCAAGTACAGCGAGGTGTTCGAGGCGCGCACCGTGCGCGGCGGGGAGCGGTGCATCGTTAAAGTGCTCAAGCCCGTGCGGCGGAAGAAGGTGCGGGGGCGGGGGGCGGGGGGCAGGGGGAGGGGGAAGGGGAAGGGGAAGGGGAAGGGGAAGGGGGGAAAAATCTGTGCTCGAGCCCGTGCGGCGGAAGGAGGTACGGGGAGAGAAGCGGAATGGAGGGGGGAGGAAGTTCATGGGGAAGCAAATCCTTACAGTGCAGAAACCTCGGCGCTGAAAGGAAGACGGTACGGGCGGGGGTGAGGGACAGCGGGAGGGGGAGGAGGGAGGGGAGGGGGAGGGGGAGGGGGGAGGGGGAGGGGGAGGGGGAGTGGAAAGGGGGAGGGGGGAAAAGAGAAGGCAGTGAGACAGTCATGGTCAGCGAGTTGGTTGAACCTAAGTAACGAAGAGAGGTCGTGCAAGGGTCACTACACGCCCGCCAAACCCTCCCCTCCCCTTTCCCCCTCCCCCTCCTCCTCCCCCCCCAGATCAAGCGCGAGATCAAGGTGCTGCAGTGTTTGGCGGGCGGGCCCAACATCATCTCGCTTCTGGACGTGCCCTGCACCACGCGCCCGCCACTACGCGCCCCTCACAATCCCCCTCCCGCTCCCCCTCCCCCTCCCCCTTCCCCTTCCCCCCCCAGATCAAGCGCGAGATCAAGGTGCTGCAGTGTTTGGCGGGCGGGCCCAACATCATCTCGTTACTAGACGTGGTGCGCGACCCAGTGACCCGCACGCCCTCGCTGGTGTTTGACCTCGTTGACTCGCTTGACTGGAAGCTGCTCTACCCCTCGCTCACCGACCTCGACATCCGCTACTACCTCTACCAGCTGCTCATGGTGAGTGCCGAGGGGATTAGTGGGGGGATTTGCTGAGGGGAGTGGGAGAGGGGAGGGAGGGTGGAAAGTTGTCTACCCCTCGCTCACCGACCCTGACATCCGCTACTACCTCTACCAGCTGCTCATGGTGAGTGTGGGGAGGGGTGTGGGTCGGGTGGTGAGGGAGAAAGGAGGGAGGAATGTGCAGAATGGCTTGGGCTAACCTCCATTGACTTACCTGATTAGAGTCTACCTTCCCCCCAATTTTCTACCTCTACCAGCTGCTCAAGGTGCGTCCTGAGGGGGCGGGTGAAAAGTTGGGGGGGAGATGGGGGGGAGATGGGGGGGAAACGGGGGGGAAATGGGGGGGAGGGTGAAAGTTTGTCCACCCCTCGCTCACCGACCACGACATCTGATTCTACCTCTACCAGCTGCTCAGGCTCATGGAGCGCGGGGGTGGGGGGAGCGAGGGGGGAGGTGAGGGGAGGTGGCAGTACGGGGATGTGGGAGGGTGAAAAGTCGTTCACCCCTCGCTCACCGACCATGACATTCGATACTATCTCTACCAGCGGCTCATGGTACGCGGTGGAAAAGGGGGGGGGGGGGAGGAGTGGGGGGGTTGGGGTTGGGGTTGGGGTTGGGGTTGGGGGGGAGAGGGGGGAGAGGGAAGGGTTGTGTGGAGGTGGAAAGATCGTCTACCCCTCGCCCAGCAACCATTGCATTGCATCCTCTCCCGTTCGGTCCCATTCCGTGCCCTTCCCTTCAGGCGTTGGACTATGCGCATTCACAGGGCATCATGCACCGCGACGTGAAGCCGCACAACGTGATGATCGACCACCAGCGCTGCCAGAAGCGTGATTTGGAGTGCCTCTCATTCAGACACTGAGGCACCGGTTCCCCCTTGCCCCGTGCCCCTTTTCCCCCATACTCAACCTGTTCCCTCTCCCCTGTTCCCTTGTTCCCCGTTATCCTCCCTTATCCCCACATTATCCCCACCTCCCCCCTCCCCTCCCTACCCCCCAGGCGTTGGACTATGCGCATTCACAGGGCATCATGCACCGCGACGTGAAGCCGCACAACGTGATGATCGACCACCAGCGCCGCCAGCTGCGCCTCATAGACTGGGGGCTCGCGGAGTTCTACCACCCGGGCATGGCCTACAACGTGCGCGTCGCCTCTAGGTGCGAGCGTGTGGGTGGTTGGAGAGTGTGCGTGTGTGTGGGAATGGGCGCAAGGGTTCAGAGGGGACAGCGCCATTCCCACACACATACACTCTCAGAGCGTGTGGGTGGTTGAGAGTGTGCGTGTGTGTGGTTGACAGGGCAGCGCCAGCTGCGCCTCATAGACTGGGGGCTCGCGGAGTTCGTTCTACCACCCGGGGATGGCCTACAACGTGCACGTCGCCTCTAGGTGCGTGCTGCGCTGTGCTCTTTCTGTGTGTGAGTGAGTGAGTGCTCTGTATGCGAGGCAGGGGAGTTGTGCGGTGATGCTGTGTAGGAGGGGTTGTACGCGTTGCAGGGGAGTGCGTGCGCTGCGCGGCACATGCCTAAGGTGTCTGGATGGACGGACACAAAAGTGACAGTAGTGAGTTTGAAAGTAATAAATGTGACACAAGGAACGCAACAGTGACCTCCAGTAATGACTTGTGTGTACATGTGTACATGTGTACATGTGTACATGAGGGCTGCTGTGCAGGTACTTTAAGGGCCGGGCCCAGAGCTACTGGTGGACCTGGAGGAGTACGAACGACTACTCATGAATACTCTACTCGCTTCACATGCAGCGTTCTCAACACCACCTTCTCCTCCTGCCTTCCCATGCTCTCTGTGTCCTTCCTGTGCTCCCCCGGCTGCTCCCCGCTCTCCCCTCCCCCCAGGTACTTCAAGGGCCCAGAGCTACTGGTGGATCTGGAGGAGTACGACTACTCGCTCAACATGTGGTGTGGCGTTCTCAACACCACCGTCTCCTCCTGCCCTCCCACCCCCCTGTGTGCCATGCCATGCCTGTGCTCTTGTGCCCCTGCAGGTACTTCAAAGGCCCAGAGCTACTGGTGGATCTGGAGGAGTATGACTACTCGCTCGACATGTGGAGCTTCGGATGCATGGTCGCAGGCATGGTGAGCCGTGGCATGGTGACGCATGGCATGGCATGGCATGGCATGGCATGGCATGGCGTGGCGTGGCGTGGCGTGACATGGCATGATGGCAATCGAAATAGTGGTTCGCAGATAACCCTCCATGCTTTCCCTTTCCCTGCACCGGAACACACCACACCAGCTCGTGCACCTTTGCTTCCTCCTCCCACGTTTTCACCCATGCCTCCCCACCCCATTGATTTCTTAGTCCACTAAAAAATCACCTCCAAACCGCCACCCCAGTCTCAGATTTCCTCCCCCCCCCTCAACTCTCAAGCATTCCTCCTCCCTCAACCCCCAACCGTCCTCCCTCCCCCCGTTCTTTCCCATTGCGTGTGCGTGTGGATGTGGGCAGGTGTTTCGGCGAGAGCCCTTCTTCTGTGGGTGGGACAACGCGGACCAGCTGGTGAAGATAGCACAGGTGAGGCAGGGGACTGTTGGGGCGCCTCAAAAGTAATTTCTGCGAGAGACCTTCTTCTGGTGGTGGGACAATGCGGACCAGCTCGTGAAGATAGCACAGGTGAGGCAGGATAAGAGAGGCATGTCCGGGTTTTGTTGGAACTCCCCTCAAAGCTTGTCTCTTGAGCGTTTGTTACAGCACGGCAGCTCAAACATGGACAGAGTGGCAGTGGTGGTAGGGAAGTGCTTGTCAATGGTTCCGGGTTGATGAAACTGGTAGGGCGCGCACAAACATATGTGTCCGTTGATTGACATATCTTCATCAGTGGTTCATTTTGAGGCGCCTCAAAAAGGCGCCTGAAGAAGGCGCTTAACAAACCATGTGTGTGTGTGTGTGTGTGTGGGCATGCGCATGCGTGCGTGTGTGCATGTGTGGGCATGCATATGCACATGCATGAGTGCAGGTGTTAGGCACGGACAGCCTGTTTGACTATGTGAAGCGCTACAATATCAAGATGGACCCGCACCTGCAACTCCTGCTCTCCAGGTGCCCTGCCCCTCCCTGCCCTTGCTCCCTACCCGCCCTGCCTCTCCCGGTCCTCTCCCTGTGTTGCTGAACATGGACTATCATGCTTGCCACGGCCATGGGTTGTCCTGTCCTCCCTGTCTACCATCTTTTCCTGCTCATGCCTACCATGGGTTGTCCTTGGATTGAGAGTTCTGCCACGCTGCTCATACCTACCCTACCCCCCTCGTGTCTCTTTCTCACAGGCATAGTCGCTCATTCATCCTGTCCTTCCATTTCCATCCCCTTCTCCCTTGCCCTTCCTTCCCCTAATTCCCCTCTTCCCTCCACCCTCTCCCCCCATCCCCACGTCCCCTTCCTTCACCCGCTCTCCCCCCACCTCCCGGTCCCCCTTTCTGCAGGAGACCGCGCAAGCCATGGTCGCGGTTCATCACGTGTGACAACCACCACCTCGTTTAGTTTTGCGGCTCCTCAAAACGAGCCTCCCCCCTACCTCCCTCCCGGTCCCCCTATCTGCAGGCGACCGCGCAAGCCATGGTCGCGGTTCATCACATGTGACAACCACCACCTCGTGTCCGCTCAGGTGGGTGGGTGTATGCGTGTGTGTGTACGTGCGTGTGTGACTTTTGAGTCAACTCAGAAGTTACTTCATCACATGTGACAACCACCACCTCGTGTCCGCTCAGGTGGGTGGGTGTATGCGTGTGTGTGTACGTGCGTGTGTGACTTTTGAGTCAACTCAGAAGTTACTTCATCACATGTGACAACCACCACCTCGTGTCCGCTCAAGTGGGTGGGTGTATGCGTGTGTGTGTACGTGCGTGTGTGACTTTTGAGTCAACTCAGAAGTTACTTCATCACATGTGACAACCACCACCTCGTGTCCGCTCAGGTGGGTGGGTGTATGCGTGTGTGTGTACGTGCGTGTGTGACTTTTGAGTCAACTCAGAAGTTACTTCATCACATGTGACAACCACCACCTCGTGTCCGCTCAGGTGGGTGGGTGTATGCGTGTGTGTGTACGTGCGTGTGTGACTTTTGAGTCAACTCAGAAGTTACTTCATCACATGTGACAACCACCACCTCGTGTCCGCTCAGGTGGGTGGGTGTATGCGTGTGTGTGTACGTGCGTGTGTGACTTTTGAGTCAACTCAGAAGTTACTTCATCACATGTGACAACCACCACCTCGTGTCCGCGCAGGTGCGTGCGTGCGTGTGCGTGCGTGCGTGCGTGTGTGCACCCCGGGTGTTTCATACCTTCGCGGGGCTCACTCTCTGAGTGAGTGCGCCCACGTGGCGACTCCAAGCCCACGTGGCGACTCCAAGCCCACGTGGCGACTCCAAGCCCACGTGGCGACTCCAAGCCCACGTGGCGACTCCAAGCCCACGTGGCGACTCCAAGCCCACATGGTGACTCCAAACCCAACCCACCACGCCGCGTGTCCGCTCACGTGTGCGCTGCGCACGCAGATGGGCAAGGGGTTTTGAGTGGGAGGGCTTGAGTGAGTTCTGTGTCTCTGGCTGAGGCTCTGGATGGGGTGGTGACTTTTGAGTCGACTCAAAAGGCACCTAGCTCTCTGCCTGAGGCTCTGGATGGACCGAGGATCATGAATGAGTAGGCAGACGTTTCGAAGCGTGGAAATGACGTCCCCCAACAATTGTGCTCTCTCTCTCTCCTACGCTGTTGCTCTGCCTGCCTCATGCCTCCTGCTTCCTCCTCCACTCCACCCCATCTCCCCCCACGTGCCCCCCTCATTTCCCCCACGTGTCCCCCTCGTGTCCCCCTCGTGCCCCCTCATGCCCCCCCCAGGCGGTTGATCTGATAGACAAGCTGCTGCGCTACGACCACCGCTCACGCCTTTTGAGGCGCCTCTAAAAACCTTTTCCCCCCCACATGCCCCCCACGTTCTTTCTTCCCCACAGGCGGTGGATTTGATAGACAAGCTGCTGCGCTACGACCACCGCTCACGCCTTTTGAGGCGCCTCTAAAAACCTTTTCCCCCCCACATGCCCCCCACGTTCTTTCTTCCCCACAGGCGGTGGATTTGATAGACAAGCTGCTGCGCTATGACCACCGCACACGCCTCACTGCCCAGGAGGCCATGGTGGGTGGAGGGGGAGCAAGGGGCGGAGGGGGAGGAGGGGGAGGAAGTGGGGGGGGGGGGGGGGGGAAGGGAAGGGACGTGATATGGCACGGCTGTTGGGGCGCCTCAGATTGACTTATCGCCGTTCTTGATTCTTTTTTGGATCGTTTGGGTGCTCATTGTAACTTCTCCCCCTCTCCTCCTCTCCTCTCCCCTCTCTTCTCCTCTGCTCTTGAACCACTATCCCTCCTTTGTCTCTCTGCCTCTCTGCCTCCCCCCTCCCCTCCCCCTCCCCCTTCCTCCTGTCCCTGCATCCATCACAGGCGCACCCATTTTTCGACCCTGTGGCACCTGGAAGGAGTGGAGATGCATCGGGGTGACTTGTGGTGATGCGTGGTAAAAGGAAGGCAGGCACGGTATAGTGCACCTCCCATGGGAACTGGAGGTGAAAGGAGGGAGAGGGGAGGGTAGGGAACGTGGCAGGCAGGCGGCTGCTTTCTCTTTCACTCTCCCTGCCTCTCTCGCTCCTATAGAAAGAGCATCACATTGTACATACAGCGCAAGCTGCTTTGTGAGCTGCCTTAGTTGGCACACTCTCTGACCCTTCTGCGACTCTTCTGCGACTCTTCTGCGACTCTTCTGCGACTCTTCTGCGACTCTTCTGCAACTCTTCTGCGACTCTTCTGCGACTCTTCTACGACTCTTCTGCGCAGCTCACGCAGGGGCCAGGAAGAATCCAGTTTTTAGACTGTCTGGAATTTCTCCCTTTCAGCATGCCGCTGTGCGAGCATGTTGTGTTGGGTTGGGAGTAAGTGCTAGTAGCACAGCAGCAGCGGGGTTTCGGCCAGTGGATGGTGCTGCAAGTTTTGAACAGTTTTGGGAGGTCTCTGGATGCTTTCTCCAGGGTTTAGTGTTTTTGTTTTGTGTTGTTTTTTTGGTCAGGTTTCTTCTGAAATTTTATTCGCCTTCAATAGTATACATGTGTTTTATATTTAAGCAGTTTTATTTCATGGTTGGAGCTTGCTGCTTTGGCACTGATGAGCTAAACTACAGTTTGTAGCGATATTCGAATTTGAATGAGCTCTTGTACCTCACCGAAATGTTATCTTCCAATACGAGTTCGCTCAGTACCGCATGATTCCAGTCATGAGAGAGGAACCTGTCCGAATAGAATCACCGATGTTACCATAAAGAGTACACCAGGGACAATATAAAACACCCTTTCTACAAATATCATTGTGCTCTTTGCTTCAGACCTATCTCCGTCCATCAGCGAGCTCATTTCCCGTCTTCCTCCCCTTCCCTGCCTGCCATATTTGACTTTCCTCCACGCATCATATGAACACACCTCCTGTTCTCTTTGCTACGGCCACAGCGATCAACGCGTCGTCGTGTCAAGGATCCACGATTCCACGTCCTCGGAGAATCCGTCCGTACCAAGCGTAACTGGCCGTTGTCGCAGCGACCTGAACCGCACCAGGCGTTATCCTCTTCCTCCTCTCACTGTACAGACCTCTGGAAGAGCGGTTCGAAGCCTCGAGCTTGAAAATTAGATTTGTTTTGGATAAGTCTCGACGACTTGAGTCCCCTTGATCGCTACGAGCGTGCTCGTGACGACCCTGGTAGCGACGAACGTGATCGTGACGACCCGGAGAACGAAGAGCTTGATCGCTATTAGCGTTTGCTATCAAGGCAACTGTTGCTAAATATCGTCCTTTCTCTCGGTGGCTCTATCTCCTTGCGACCTTCCTCTCTCTCGCACTTTCTGTTTCGACCCAACCGTCTTGCGCTCTGTCCCTTGTTTCCGCTCGATCCCGCTCCCGCTCGCTGTCCTTACGCCGTCTCCTACTCTACGCGCATTTTTGTTCACGCGCAATCTCGGCCACGCGCTATTCGCCACGCTCGATTCGCAAATTCTCCACTGGCGTGCCACTCGCGGCGAGGAGCCATGTTCGCCAAATTCCGCCAACAGCAGCAGCAGCAGCAGCAGCAGGGAGGGGATTCGTCGCCGTGGGAATCAGAGGAACCGGAACCAACCGAGCTGAACCCGAGCAAGTGCGGGCAACGGTTACTTCTAAGCAAGGACAAGCTAAGCGTCACGTACACGGGCAACGGCACGCACAACAACGATGTCGGCGCTATCCAGGCGAATCGCGCGGCGCCGAGCCAGCGCGCGATTTACTACTTCGAGATTGTCGTGAAGGACCGCGGCGCGCGCGGGTGTGTGGCCGTTGGGTTCGCGGACGCGAGCTTCAAGACGTGCCGGCAGCCAGGGTGAGCGGGGTTGAGGCGGGGTGAGGAGGGGTGATTAGGGGCGAGAAGAGGTGAGGAGGAGGTCGGGTAGGGGAAGAAAAAGAGGAGGGATTGGGGGGGTGGAAGGAAGAGGGAGGTGCCGCAGCTTGATTGGGGTTGTCCCGCTACCCCCCTCCCGCATCTTTCCCCCGTCCCACTCTATCTCTCCCCGACTTGTTCTCCTTCAACTCACCTCTCCAACCCCATCCTGGTCTGCACGCGCGGGGCACCCCATTCCCCACCAGGTGGGAGGCGAGCAGCTACGGGTACCACGGGGACAACGGCAAGGTGTATCACAACAGTGGGCGCGGGGAGGCGTACGGGCCTGAGTTCACCACCAACGACGTGGTGGGCGCGGGCGTCAACTACGGCACACACGAGATCTTCTTCACGTCAGTATTTCCACCTCGCAGCCTGCCTCTCAGTACCTCAGTGCCTCTCAGTCACTCTCCCTGAGTTCACCACCAACGACGTGGTGGGCGCGGGCATCAACTACGGCACACACGAGATCTTCTTCACGTCAGTATTTCCACCTCGCAGCCTGCCTCTCAGTACCTCAGTGCCTCTCACTCACTCTCCCTGAGTTCACCACCAACGACGTGGTGGGCGCGGGCATCAACTATGGCACACACGAGATCTTCTTCACGTCAGTGCTGCTTCTCTCTCACTGCCTCTCACTGCCTCTCACTGCCTCTCACTGCCTCTCACTGCCTCGCACACAAAACGCCTCTTTGGTACTCGCGAGAGGCAGTGCTGCTGCTGCTACCTACCTCCTCCTGCCCTCACCGCTGCTCGTTTCTGCTCGTTTCTGCTCGTTTCTGCTCCTCTCCGCTCGTTCCCTCGTTCCTCTCCCTCCCTCTGTGCTCTGCCGTGTCTCGCCCCTCCCTGCACGTTGCCAACATTTCCTTTTGCGATCCGTCTCCCTCACCCAGAAAGAATGGCAAGTCGTTGGGGCCAGCGTTTCGGGATGTGAAGGACGAGCTCTTCCCCACCGTCGGCCTGCACAGCCCCAATGAGAGGTGCGCTTGTCGTGAGACCCGCACCTTTTTGAAACGCCTCAAACAAATGGGACGTTTCGGGATGTGAAGGGCGTGCTCTTCTCTTCCCCACCGTCGGCCTGCACAGCCCCAATGAGAGGTGCGCTTGCTGTAAAACCTGCGCTTCCCCCCCCCCCCCCCCCCCTTTTTTTTCCTTTCTATGCGCCTTAAGGCTTTAGTGAGAGGTGTGTCTGCTAGGAGGTGTGTGCGGTGCGGCTCTCTCACGCCTTCCGTTGAACCTCCCTGTTGTATCTCTCCTTCTCCCCTTCTCCCCTTCTTCCCAGCATATCACCCTGCTCTTCTTCGCCTCTACTCCTGTCCCTCAGGCCTCATCCCCCATCCCTCCATGCCCCATCTGCACCCCGCCTGCATGCCTTGTACCATGCCCACAGGGTGGAGGTCAACTTTGGTCAGAAGCCGTTCCTCTTCGATGTGCAGGTGATCTCTTTCTTTCCCTGCAACGCCTCCCCGGCTGACCAAAAACATCACTCTGGTTAGGCTCCATTGCCTTTTTTTTTTTTTTTTTTTTCCCATACCCCAGGTGAGTTTCCTCTTCCGTGCTTGCTTCCTTCCATGCATGCCCCTTGCTTGCCCCCATTCCCCCTTTCTCTCATCATTCTTTATGATTAAGCGTTAATCGTTTCCACTCGCTGCGTTTTGCCCCAGCCTAGACAAGCTGCGCTTCTCCCTCTTGCCCTCTCGCCCTTTCTTTCCACCGTCTCCTCTACGGCAGGGCATGGTGATGGACGAGCGGGCCAAGGTGCAGCGGGCCATAGACCGCATCCCCTTGTCGCCACACATCACACACAGGTGCCACGCCACTCCATCCGTGCTCTCTCTCTCTCTGTGTGTGTACCATGTGCCATGTGCTAATGGCATCGGCTGTGTTGTGTTGTGCCATGTCTATTATGCCCTTGGCCCCGGCTCATACACACATGCCATCTCACGGCCATGGTTTTCATCCTCTATTTCATTTGCTCTTCCCCCAGCCATGCCTTGCGTAGCACCTCCTCCTCTACCTCCCCTCCTTCTCTTCTCTCCCTCACCTCACCCGCTTGAATAAACCCCATTTTTCTCCCTCCACTCCTCTCCCCAATGACCTTACCCCCTCTCTCCCCGCTCCTCCCCACTGCCAGCATAGTGCGCTCATACCTGCTCTTTCACGGCTATGCTGACACTCTTGCTGCCCTCGATGCTGCTAACAACACGACTCCTGCCGCAACGCCTGATGCTGCTGCTGCTGGTGCTTGCGGGGTGGCAAACGGAGCCGTAGAGTCTGCTTCCCTGCTGCGACCATCAGCAGCTGCTGCTGCGGGTGGGGGAGATGGAGAGGGGAGAGTGGGAGGAGGGGGCGCAGAGGGGAGTGTGAGGGGGAGGGAGATGGCTTCTGGGCCTGAGCCCATGGAAGTGGCACCAATAGGGATGGACGCTGCTGCTGCTGCAGCTGCTGCTGGGGCTGCAGGTATTACAAGCCAGCGCCCGCAGTGCTGCTCCCATCCCATCTCCATATGCCTGTTTTTTTAGTATACTAAAAAATCCTCTTCATATGCCTGTATATATGTGTCGCTTTGCCGGCTGCTGTCTTCTCGACTGCTGGTTTTCCTCCTCCGGCTGCTGCTGCTGCCGCTGCTGCTGCTTCTCCTCTGCCTGTTTTTGCTGTCGTCGTGTCTAAACAAAGATGGTGGTGCTTGCTGCAGGTGCAAAAGCTCCAGGCAACACGCTGTCTTTGAGACGTCTCAAAAACACCCTCTCTACACGTGCTGCAGGTGCAAAATCTCCAGGCAACACGCTGTCATTGCAAGGAGCAGAAGCAGCAGCAGCAGCAGCAGCAGCAGCAGGGCTGGCAAGGGCGCCTAGAGTGGAGTTGCCTTCATGGGACACTGTGCTAACAGGCACGCTCGCCTTCCGAGCTCAAGTCAGACAGGTGGGCATGTGGACACAAGTGGATTGGGGAGGTGGACCAAGGAAGTGGCCTGTTGCAGAGAAGTACTCTGTTCCTCCTCCTTTAGCTTCACCTCTCCTCTATCAGCCCCTTGCGCTCCTCTATTCACGTGCCTCTCACCCACTTCTCATGTCGTCGATTCACCATGCCCCCTCTGCTCTCTCCCTCCCTTCTCTGCCGTACGCCCTCTGCCCTCTACCCTCTGCCCTGTGCTCTGTGCCCTCTGTCCCGGCAGCTGATACGTGCGGGGCACATGGATGCAGCACTCAACAAGCTCTTTGAAGTGCTGCCCCAGCTGCTGCAGGTGCTGCACGTGGCTGTGCATGTGCTGTGTGTGTGCATTAGCATGTGCTGTGTGTGTGTGTACGGGCATGTGCATTTGTGTGTGCATGGGCATGGGCATGTGTGTGAGCACGTGTGTGAGCGGATGAACTGAGACAGTCTCTGAGGCACCAAATTACTGAGACGATCTTTAGGCGCCGCAGAAATCGTTTGCATGTGTTAAGTGCACGGCATGGGCATGGGCATGGGCATGGGTATGGGCATGGGCATGGGTTGCACTTAGCTTTTGGGTTTACGCGTCTGCCTTTTACTGGAACAATTGATCAGCCGCGTAAACCCAAAAGCCGTAAGGGCAGGTCCAGCGCGTACGTTTACAGCTCATTCTGTGCAGTTAGTGTTGTTGCGTCACGGTGCAAGACGGTGAAAAATGGAAACCGCTGTCCACCGCCTGATATCGTTTTTTACACCACGGCGGAGGAACTGTAAACAAACGTGCTGGACCTGCCCTAAGGCCTCTGAGTTAACACCTGCTCTGTACCTCCTCTCCTCTCCCACATGCTTCATGACTTTTGAGTCGACTCAAAAGTCAACTTGGACCTGCCCTAAGGCCTCTGAGTTAACACCTGCTCTGTACCTCCTCTCCTCTCCTCTCCCACATGCTTCATCACCCAAACCACAGAACGATAGTGCAGGAGTCACGTTCCTTCTCCGGACCACCAAGTTTGCGGAAATCGTTCGGGTATGTATCCTGCAATTGCTGCCCTGCTCCCTCTCACTCCCCTTTCCTCCCTTTGTAGGTCTTCCGTTTTCTCCTCTACCCCACTCTCCTTCCGCTTTGCTAAACTCGTCCCTCGTCCCCATTTCGCACCTCCCCATTCCCCTCCTCCGCATTCCCCACGTCCTCTCCTTCCGTCTCCCACCTATACCCCAGTCAGGGTCGCTAGAGGCAGCGCTGGCATATGCACGTTCAGAGCTCTCAGGATTTGTTGTACTCTTGAAAACACTCTGCATTCTTCACCTCCTTGCCCTGCCCCCGCCTGTCCCTCACCTATACCCCAGTCGGGGTCGCTAGAGGCAGCGCTGGCATATGCGCGTTCAGAGCTCTCAGGCTTTCAAGGCCGTTCACCCGACCAAGACGCACTGCTGGAGGTGAGTGCAGTGCGGGAGTGGAGCAGCATGTGAGAGCAGATTTTGTAAGTGCTATGACTTTACCTGCACTGCACTCGCACTGCTCATTCACACTCTCTCTCTCACGAGCCTTGGTCCTCATTCCTCTCCTAGCTTTTGACGTGTAAAAAAAAAAGGCTTTGTCCTCGCTCCTCTCCTATCAACTCCTTCTCCTTGTCAACCAGTCTCCCTTCCCTTAACCTTGGCTTCATGCACACACCTCACCTCATCGCGATCGGCTACCATTCCCTCTCTTTTGAGGCGCCTCCAAAGTCCTAGATATTTGAGGCGCCTCCAGGCTTCTTTTGCACACACATACACACACACACACACACACACACACACACACACACACACACACACCTCAACGCGATCGGCTACCATTCCCCTCTCTTCCTGCTTCTCCCTCTCAAGCTCGCCCCTTTGTTTTCTCTTTCACGCTTCCTCTCCCTTCATCTTTCGCCCTCTCCCTTCCTCACGCACTCCCTTACACCTCGCTCTCCCCGCCCCTATTACTCACAGGACTTCCTTGCTCTCTTGGCATATCCCGATGCCACCAGCAGCCCCCTCGCCTATTTTGAGGCGCCTCAAAATACATCTCCCTCCCCCCCCTCCCCCTCTGCTGCTACTCACAGGACTTCCTCGCTCTCTTGGCATATCCAGATGCCACCAGCAGCCCCCTCGCCTACCTGCTGCACCCCTCGCATCGAGACGCGGTAGCAGATCAAGTCAACACCGCGATCCTCTCTGCTGCTGCTGCTTCGTCCACCCACTCCCTCCCCACCCCTCCCTCCTCCCTCTCCCCGTCCGGCCCTCTCGATATGTCCGCTTCTGGTGCTCATGCTGCCGCCGCTGCTGCTGGTGGCGCTGCTGGTGCTTCCAGTGCTGCTGGTGGTGCTGGTGAGGGTGCTGCTGATAAGGTTGCTTTGGACTCGAGGGATTATGCACTTGCCATGGCAGACAGAGCCGGTAGCAGCAGCAATGCGAGTGGGTCGTTTGCAGGGGCAGTGGGGAGAATACCAGGTCAAATGTCAGGAGCCACAGCAGCAGCAGCACAAGGCGCAGAAACAGCAGCATCAGCAGCAGCAGCGGCGGTAGCAGCGGTAGGGGAGACAAGTACCCCCATGGATCTTCTAGACATCTCTCTCCCCCTCTCTCTTGACCTGCACTGCCCACATATCCCCACCGCTTCCCCTCCCTCCGCCACTGCTGCTGCAGCAGCAGGCGATACAGCAGCTGCTGCTGCCGCTGCGTCTCCTGGTGGTGCTGCCGCTGCTGGTGTTGTTCCCCCTGAGCGGTTGAGAGCGGTGCTGGAGGTGCTGCTTAGGCATCTGGCAGTGTGTCACGAGGAGAGGAGGGAGGCAGCAGGGGGGCAGGGCGAGCTGTTCTGCCTGCAGCGCATGCTGGGGGGGGGGAAGGATGGTGGTGTGTGGTGAATGAGAGGACGGGGTGGACGGGAGGGGAATGGACGGAGGAGGAGGAAGGGGGGTGATAAGCTGGAACGTAAGAATGGGGTTGGGATGTGGGAGGGGAAGGGTGGGGAAGGTAAAGAAATGGGGTTGGAAGAGTTGGGGCAGCAGGAGGGCACGTGTTAATCAGTACCATTGACAGGAGAGGAGGGAGGCAGCAGGAGGGCAGGGCGAGCTGTTTTGTCTGCAACGTATGCTGGGCGGGGGGGAGGATGGAGGCGTGTGGTGAATGAGGAGAGGCGGTGGAGGGGACGGGTGTCACGGGTCTGTAGCGTTGGCAGCAGGAGGGCAGGGGGAGCAGTTCTGCCTGCAGCGCATGCTGGGTGGGGGGAAGGATGGAGGGGTGTGGTGAACGAGAGGAGGTGGTGGAAACGAAAGAGAAGGGAAGAAGTGCTGGAAAGGAAGGGATGGGGTGGGGAGAGGAGCAGCTGGAAAGTTAGAAGGGAGGGAAGGTAAGGAGGGAGGGAGGGAGGAATTGGGGTTTGCCTTGGCTAGTTCTATTGAAGGAGGAAAGGGAGAGGAAAGGGAGAGGAAAGGGAGACACCATGGGAGTAAAGACACAAATAAGGAGGCAGGGAAGAGGAAGAGGGGGTTGAAGAGAGGGGATGAGGCTGATTGGTTTCGCTGGTATGATCTGAGTCTCTCACCCTGTAGAGCCTACTTGCACCCACCCACCCACCCACTCACTCACTCACCCATTCACTGGCTGGCCCGTTTGCTCATCCTGTGGACCGTGACTTAAAATCTGCAGCCAATTCTTTCATTGTACCAACAGCATTACTGGTACCATGTTCACTGTAGCGGCTGCTCCATATGATGATGGAATTCTGATGTTACTATACCACTACGTGTAGCATTTCTCAGGCTTGCTCCATGTTCCTCGCCTGATTAGTAGCATCAATAATCAAAGAAATGCGCTCAGTTGGTATGGTCATGTAACAACCTTACCGTATGACTGACTTGCAGTTTGGGGTGTGTTCCTGAAAATCCGATCAAATTTGTGAGTAAGTAACCTCTTCAACAGATTCAATGGTGCCGTGCAGCTGAAATGAGATGCTGTTTTTGCATTGTACAAAACCTTTTACTACGTAGTAGGCTCCAAATGTACATGCCAACTGCCACACCAAGCAGCAGCAATGTCAATAACTTAACCACAACAAGCGCCCCCATCCCCAGCTTTCCACTCAACGACTAGTACCGTAGTACCAGTACCAGTATCCTATCCTGTCTTCAGTATACATACGCTAGTCAGGGCATCTGGATTCTGGACAAAACTAGAGGCGAGGGAAGACCAAGATGTGCTTCTTATAAATAGAAACACAACTTCTCCTACCCCATGCAATCATATACGGTAAGCTTCGTTGAATACCGGTACCCCTTTCTTCTTCCCAGCCCCTTCCACAGCCCCTTTCAAAACTCCAACCTCCTGCATCCACCTCTCTCACTCCCCTCCCCCCCTTCCCCTCTCTTCCTCTCTCCCTCAATCAGACTTTCAACGGCCCAGATTCGTCCGAGTATCGATCGCTGCGACCATTACGCCCCTCGTGCCCACCATTGCCCTCATACCCCTCCCCACCCTCACCAAACCCCTCCCGCCCCGCCTGCCCCTCGTGCCCCTCACCCCCATCCCCATGCCCATCCCCATGCCCATCCTCGGCCATCTCAATGAAGCGAGTCTTCTCGCTCTCATCCAGGAGCTCATCGGCCTCGGTGACGAGATACACAATGGCCGCAATGAGCAGAATCATCAGCCCTGCACCCGCCACCGCCAGCCCCATCCACAGAAACACACTCATGCTCCCCGCCCCGCCCTCTGCCGCGCTGTGGCCTGGGGAGGGAAGAGGAAAGGGGAGGGGGGAAGGAGGGAGGGGGAAAGGCCAGGGGGGACGGGTTGGGTGCATGTGGGATCAGTATGTGGTGACTTCTGGGTGCCATATTCCCTCATGCCCTCCCCTTCTCCTGCCCATCCTCGGCCATCTCAATGAAGCGAGTCTTCTCGCTCTCATCCAGCAGCTCATCGGCCTCGGTGACGAGATACACGATGGCCGCAATGAGCAGAATCATCAGCCCTGCACCCGCCACCGCCAGCCCCATCCACAGAAACACACTCATGCTCCCCGCCCCGCCCTCTGCTGCGCTGTGGCCTGGGGAGGGAAGAGGAAAGGGGAGGGGGGAAGGAGGGAGGGGGAAAGGCCAGGGGGGACGGGTTGGGTGCATGTGGGATCAGTATGTGGTGACTTCTGGGTGCCATATTCCCTCATGCCCTCCCCTTCTCCTGCCCATCCTCGGCCATCTCAATGAAGCGAGTCTTCTCGCTCTCATCCAGCAGCTCATCTGCCTCGGTGACGAGATACACGATGGCCCCAATGAGCAGAATCATCAGCCCTGCACCCGCCACCGCCAGCCCCATCCACAGAAACACGCTCACGCTCATCCAGTCCCCTCCTCACCATAAGCCGAGCTGCGCTGGAATTGCGCGTGGTTGCTTGCACTCGAGAAGTCTGAGACGTCTCAAAACTGTTTTGAGTGTTTTGAGGCGTCTCAAAATCGCACTCGAGAAGTCTGAGACGTCTCAAAACTCAAGCCCCCGCCCAGCGCCCCGCTCACCCACTAGCGCCCCCCTCCCTCTCAAAACTCAGTCCCCCCCGCTCACCATAAGCCGAGCTGCGCTGGAACTGTGCGTGGTTGCACTCGTAGCACGCGAGGTTGACGTGGAAGCACGAGGGCACGACTAGGCCCCCAACCAGTGTCCCTTTCACCATTCAGCGGCTGGCAATTTGCTTAACAAGCCATGCATCCCCCGCCCGGTCCCCCTTTTGAGGCGCCTCAAAAGCCATTCAGCGGCTTGCAACTTGCTTAACAAGCCGTGCATCCCCCGCCCAGCCCCCCACTCACCATAAGCCGAGCTGCGCTGGAACTGCACGTGGTTGCTTGCTTGCACTCGAGAAGCTTTGAGGCGTCTCAAAACTCAAGCCCCCACCCAGCGCCCCACCCACCCACTAGCACGCCCGCTCAACCCCCCATCCAGTCACCCTCCTCACCATAGGCCGAGCTGTGCTGGAACTGCACGTGGTTGCTTGCACTCGTAGAGGTTCATGTGGGTGCATGTGGGTATACGTAGCACCGCCCAGTCCCACCCAGTCCCACCCAGTCCCACCCAGTCCCACCCAGTCCCACCCAGCTACCGCTCACCATAGGCCGAGCTGCGCTGGAACTGCGCGTGGTTGCACTCGTAGCACGCGAGGTTGACATGGAAGCGCGAGGGCACGACGTGCGTGAAGATGCCGCGCTCATCCCGGCTGCTGAAGTTGGCGGCACACACGGTCCACGTGTCGTAGATGGCATCTCCCAACCACTCGTGCTCGTACAGCCCACACTCCGTGCACTCCTCCCTGTGAAGCTTGGCTACCGGCTGAGAACGCGCAGGGGCGGACGAGACGGGGAGGGAGGTGGACAGGACGGGGAGGGAGGGAGGTGACGGGAGCGGAGGGGAGGGGAGCGGAGAGGGGCGTTCAGGGACAGGGTAGGCCACATTCCGTGCACTTCTCCCTCTCAGTGACGAGGCCGCGCTCATCCCGGCTGCTGAAGTTGGCGGCACACACGGTCCACGTGTCGTAGATGGCGTCCCCCAGCCACTCGTGCTCGTACAGCCCACACTCCGTGCACTCCTCCCTGTGGAGCTTTGCTACCGGCTGGGGTTTGATGGGGAGGGGTGGGGCGGGAGGGGAGGGGAGGAGATGGGAAGGGGTTGTAAGGAACAGCGTTGTAGAAGGCATCTCCCAGCCACTCGTGCTCATACAGCCCGCACGTCGTGCACTCCTCCCTGTGAAGCTTCGCCACCGGCTGATGGGGATGCACAAGCAGGGGTGGAATGGGTATGGAGCGAGGGGAGGAGAGGGGAGATGCGTGTACGGAAGCGTGCAGTGCAGCCCGCAAATCGTGCACTCCTCCCTGTGGAGTTTCGCCACCGGCTGGGGACGTGCGTGCAGGGGTGGGGCGGGAGGGGACGGGGGGTAGGTGGAGGGAAGAGAGGGGCGGGGAGGGGAAGGGAGGGGAGAATAGGGGATGGTCACAGGACAGGAAAAGGGAACGGGGCGGCGCGGGGCGGGGTGGGGCAGGGTGGGGTGGGGCAGGGCGGGGTGGGGCAGGGCGGGGTGGGGCAGGGTGGGGTGGGGCAGGGCGGGGTGGGGCAGGGTGGGGTGGGCCAGAGTGGGCGGGGCGGGATGGGGCGGGGAGCCATCCTTAGAGGGCGAAAGTTTTGAGTCGACTTGAAGCGACCTGGGTGGAAAGGACTGGTGGATCGGGTTGGGGTGGGTTGGGGTGGTTTGGTGTGGGTTGGGGTGCAATAAGAGTGCGAGAAGCGGAGTGGAAGGACGGGCGGGGAGGAGGCGGATACGAGGAGGTGATATTTGACCTCCTCCCTCCCTTGCTCATGCAAACAGGCAGGCCCCAACACACCAGTGATCTCAACCTTGGCTGAATATTCATTCAGAGCCTCGACGGCCACTCCTCTGCCATCCCTCTGCCATTCCTCTGCCACTCCACTGACATTCCTCTGACCTCGTTTGTAACTCTGCCAGCTTTCAAAAGTACTTGCTCGTGATTTTAATCGTTCACGCGTCTTCAAGATTCTTGCTACTCGCATCTGCACGCCCATTCACTTCTCCTCTCCAACGTACACCCACCCAATTTTCCCCAATCAATCTCCCTCCCCTCACCCGCCACTCCCCTCACCCACCACTCCCCTCACCCGCCCGCGGCTCACCCATCCCTGGGCTCACCCCACCACGCCCCTCATCCCCTCCCCCCCCTCGCGTCACGGGCCCCCACGCTCACCTGCCACGACTCGTTGCCCGTGAAGTTGAACCACCGCATCGTCGCGTTCACCCCGGGCAGCTCCGTGCGGTTGCCGCCGCTGCAACCAGGATTCTTACTGCTCTCCTCTCTACACCCGTTCTCTTCTCCACTCAGATTTACACCATCAATTCTTCCCAATCAATCTCCCCCCCCTCCCTCGCCTCGCGGCTCAACCGCCCCGCGCTCAACCCCCCCTTCGCCGCACCGCCCACTACGCTCACCTGCCACGACTCATTGCCCGTGAAGTTGAACCATCGCATGGTCGCGTTCACCCCGGGCAGCTCCGTGCGGTTGCCGCCGCTGCCGTCGCCGCACGAGAGGTATACGGCGGGCGCCGTGAACCAGCTGTACTTGTGGAACAGCGTCACGCTCGCGATCGTCACGTTGTACGGTATTCCGCCTGGTGCGGGGAAGGGGGGCGCGGGGGTGAGGGGCGGGGCGGGGAAGCGGGACGAGGGGGGAGGGGGGAAGAAGGGGAAAAGCGGACGTACGGAATTGGCGGAGAAAGGACGGAGAGAAACGGCGGGTGGAGAAGGGGGGGAAGGGGAGAGGTGGTGGGGGAGGGGAAGGGGCAAGTTGTTTACGTGGTGAAAAGAGACGGATCATGCGGACATACATATATGTATGATTTGAAAGCAGCGGAGGCTGATAGTGAGGGATCGAGGGAAAAAAGGCAGCGGGAAGCGATCCTGTTACGAGAGAGGAGTAAGAGCGCAGGACGGACAAGGAAGAGTGAGGAAAGGATACCTGAGCACAGCGAGATGGTCGCTAAGAAGCAAGCGACGGTGACAATGGCGTCCAGTCCGCGGTGACGACGTTGCCATGCCATCGCGTCTCGGTACCACGGTTTGCACTGACGGGGAGAATTTCGCCGGCGGACGAGACTCCGAACGAAGCGTACAGGATCGGGACGACGTGAATTCTCCTCCGGACAAGGATTTGCTGATCGTGAATAATTTACCAGCTAGATAGACGTGATGCGTGTAGTATTGTCACGATGGTTCCCTAACCTTGATGTGATGCGCCAAGCAAGATCCACTTTTATTCTCCACTCACAGCCATCATCAGGATTGGGGGAGGTGATTGTTTGTGGGCAAGAAAGGGAAGGGGAAGGCCTTGCTCGACTGATGGAGCGCGCCGAAGCGGCTGAGATGTAAGTAGGGTCCTGGTATGGTGGTGGTTGGTGGTGGCTCGAAGATCCGAACCAGAGGTGCTATTGAGAACTCCGGAAACGCAGGATGGTTACGGAAAGAGGCTGGTTCTGAAGGCGGTTTCCCACTTGGCGTTTCAGCTTGCGTTTGTTTAAAAATTCGATCTGGTGCTGGCCCAGTACTAACTTGTTACGCCCGATGCCTCAAATTTTGCCATCTTGGCGCAAGCCTCGGATGTCTAGCCACCTCTCATACCGGTAAAATCGAACAATCCCACATTCACACTGGGTAGGGAAGGTGTCAAAGGGATGGGTCCTGCGTGCAGTGACGCGGCCCGGACTTCATTGGGCCACCAAACCAGAAAGAGCGCTGCTCATTGGAGAATTACAGTATGGAGTGATGATCTGAATAAGTACCGAACCACCTTGAAAGCCACGTAGCCGGTTTGGGTTCTCACGGCTCGGTCAGGAAATGATGTCGGCAAGGATGTCAGCGAATCAGGTTGCGATCCTTCATGTGCAAACGTAAGGTCCGGACCTCTCACAAAGCTTCCCTGACAGCTACAGAGCCCCGGGAAGGGTGTGCTTTTGTGCGACTTGAAGGACACGTAACATTGTAAAATACACGCTGACATATCAGAGTGCTAAAGGATTAGCATGAATTGTAACTCTGTTGATTCTAATCTCTGCAAGTGGCTTGTCCCCTGGACCTGTCTTCGTCTGCACAAATAAACAACAAGAGCGGGAAGGGGAGGGGGGATTTAGTGTTTGCACACTTGCAAACCGCTACACCTCATGCAAATGCAAACACTCATGGCTACATCTGCTCACCTTTTCCATGAGGTCGAGTACATCAAATCCGTGTATGACCTTGCCGAAGATGGTGTAGAGCCCGTTTAAATGTGGCTGCTTGGCGTATGAAATAAAAAACTGGCTGCCATTGGTGTTGGGCCCACTGTTGGCCATCGACAATATCCCACGCACATTGTGCTGCTCGGGCAGGGAGGGAGAAAGGTGGAGTGGAGAAAAAGGGCAGAAAAAAAAACTAGTAAGTGGGCTAAGGATGGCAAGAGTAAACTGGAGAAGCAACAAAACAAACCAAGGTAAACTATGAAAAACAAGGAAAAACAAACAAACAAATATGTACAAGCCTACCTTGAGAGACTCTCGGATCTCATCGTTGAACTTGCCGCCCCAGATGGACTGACCCCCACGGCCAGTGCCAGTGGGGTCGCCTCCTTGGATCATGAATCCACGGATGTTGCGGTGGAAGATGGTGGTATCATAGTAGCCACTCGCACATAACGCCAGAAAGTTCTGCACGCATACATGCACACCGGCATATGCATATGCGGATATGAAGCGACGGGTAAAGCGTAGGAGGAAAGGCAGAAACGGACAGAGGTACAAGTCTGATTGGGACAGGCTTGTGAATAGAAGCGGCAACAGATGGAAAAACCTAGAGATGGTGGGGGGGTTTGGCGGATGGTATAGCACGGATGTAGGTCAGGAGAGGGAGGGCACTGGTGGAATTTGATTTTGAGGGAAGGAAACCTGACAGATGCGGTTTGCTTGAGGTGCAGGTGCATTACCTCGCAGGCTTTAGGCACTTCGTCACAGAAGAGCTCGCACTTGATATCTCCCAGGTTGGTGTGCAGGGTCACGGACTGGTGGAGGGGAGGCAGAAGGGAGGACAGGGCAGGGGAAAACACAGATGGGAGCGGTGGCTTTAATAGGAGGAGAATAGCAACGACAGGAGGGTCGGAAGGGGGTTGGGGAAGGGCGAGCAGTGGGGAACGGTTGGTTTCGACAATGCGTGGTTTCGACAATGCGTGGGAGGGACGAGGATCAAGAGACTTAGTCGATACGAGGTTTCGGGGGATTGTGTGAGGAATGGTTGGGTTGGCATGAGTGACACGAGAAAGGAACGACACACAGGAAGTGCAAGGCAGTCACTGGGGTTGGGGGAGTGCAATGAGTTGGAATAAATCAGCGGAAATAGATCCTTGTGAAGGAACGTAGGGAGAGATACAGGCAAAAGGGACACACCATGGCCGACTGTCCGATCGAAGCTGACACGCGTGCGGCAAGAGGCGGCCGAAATTGACCACAACGCAAACGTGGCCAGTGGAGATGTGAACTTTCGAGACGATGCGTCCTGCGATGAGCGTCTGCCAAAGCACGTACGTGTACCTCCTCCGTCGGATCCTCCGTAACCCTACCGCCTCCTTCTTCCACTGGTGTCCTCTACTATTCGCCTTTATTCTGAGTCTATAAGTCGCTATGCTCCTCCTCAATCGTCGTGGGAAAAAAATGAAGCGTTGCGCAATCACTCGGCCCGCGCGGAAGACTATCGAATGTTAGCTCCTGGCAGCTCTTTCGTGCTGGGCAGATATCCTCGGTAACAGCGGGAGCGTGGTCAAAGCTGGACTTATGATTGGAAGCATTTCTATGCGGCTTGCGCAGCACTACTGGATCTGCGAAAGCAAAAAGAATCAATGTTTCATACATTGCAACATCCACTGTCAAATTGCTATCCCCTTCTGTACACCCTCCGTAATGTATTAGACGGATAGCGAGTTTTCTAACGCTGAAGCTTGCTGAGGGCCGGGTCAGTCAAGGGAGAAAAAATTGCGCGACGCGTCCGATTGTGCGCTTCTCTCAATCTTGTCGACCAATCTCGCACCGTAGATAGGGCGACCGAACACCCCGCAATTAAATCGACCTACAAACCCTTCGTTATATTCATGCTGCGGACGGGTTCCGTAGGCGTTACAGGTGCCATTTGGTTTTACGGTCAGAATCGCGAAATTACAGCATGGGGTTTTGATTCTTTCACCAAAGACAGATTTTGCGACGTGTTACGTCACTTCAGTCTAGTCGCGCCGACAAGGCTTGTCTTATGCTGATTTTGTTTGGCCTTGTTTTTTATACGGTGTAAAACAAACTAAAACCCCTAGGGAGCCAGGCACCGTTTTCAATGTATCAACCCTAAACACCTTGCCAGCTCCCGTGTTTAGGGTTGCAACCTCCCGAATTGCACCACATTCGAGGCATCAACCCTAAACACCTTGCTATCCTTGTTTAGGCTTGATACCTCCCGAATTGCATCCCTGTATTTCGGGGTTTAGTTTTTGTCGGCCCCAGCTTAGATTTAGTGCTCCTGAAATGTTTCAGTAAATCGCGGTGGACACGTGACAAACAATATGTCTGTAAACAAGAAACGTGACACGCGCGCCAAACATTTTCGCGCTACCGAAACAGTGACATCGAGACGGACCACCGACTCCCACGCATCAAAACTGGCAGTTACAATCGCAAAAGCGCGTGTAGATCGACTCATTTCCGAGTGGTTCGGTCGCCCTACCTGCGGTGCAGCTTGGTCGATGGGATTGAGAAAAGGCGAAATGACGCGCATCGGCGGAAATCGTGTTTCTCTCAATTGGATCGACCCAAATTACTCTGACCTCGCCACGTGGGCGTTTCCCTAAATTGGATGGACCCTGTTTGCGCGCGCCCCCACCTCGCGCAATTTTCCCGCCCTTCCCTACCAGAATTCGGGCACCAGCTGGAGATTCTTTATATCACAAACAGTCACAATTCATTGTATTTTCGTAACGCTAATTGGACATGCGAGCGACATCTCATTGGACAGAACACTGATTATATATTTCGCGCGCCAAAGTGACATGCAAGCAGTGCGTTTTGTGATTCTTCAATGTTGAATGACGTGCACGTTCGGTTGCGCCAGGAGCCTTTGGGGAACGCACAGTTAATTTGAAGTTGTACCTTTACTTAATTGTCCATTTCCTTATAAACCATACTCTGAAGTTAATGGTTGGTTTAGGGTATGGTCTATTATAAATCAAAGTATAATAATAGACCATTATTAAGAGTACGGTTTCATATAAAGCATACGTTTTTCACAATGATTTAAATGCAGGGTAATATTTCTATTCGAAATAATAAAAATCAGTATAATCAGACAGAATTTCTACGTAAGATAACAATTGCTCATTTATATTTGGTTACGAGTGACGTTTTTTTTGCCTATGAGTTAAATTGGTAATTAATTAAACAATTTTAGATATTTCATGGAATAAGCTTTGTTTAAAATATTAAAACCAGCAGAAACTATAGTTACTCTGGCGCGCAGGAGCAATTACAAATGTTTCGACCAATCAGAAGTTCATCACGTGGCGAAAATGTGGAGGTACCGTAGAAGGTTGCGACGATTTGTGATAAATCTGAACTTCAGCACAGTTGCCCGAATTTGTAGGGTAAGGGCGAGAAAATCGGGTTGGGGGGGCGCGCGCAAACGCGGTCTTACCAATTTAGGGAAACGCCCACGTAGCGAGGTCGGAGTAATTTGGGTCAATCCAATTGAGAGAAACACGATTTCTGCCGATGCGCGTCATTTCGCCTTGAGAAAAGCTCGCGATTGGCCGCGTCGCACAATTTTGCCGTCAAGGGAGCTTTGCAGCGTGTCGGTGTTTTACCCGCAAGGAAATCGAACCACACGAGGGCGAGGCGACTCCAATTGGCTCTGCCGGTCCCAGGCCAGGTGAGGGAAAGAGAACCGTTCAATCCTGGCCACAGATTGCCTGCGAACTACAGCCCAGGCCGCCCTTGACTTACAGCTTGGCAAAGGACAGGTAACCACGTTATTCCAGAGTTGAGCACATTTGCTTGTCTCGGTCACCCTTTTTCGCCAAAGCCGAATTCGTCGGTCCTCTTGTCTGGAAGGCCACAGCACCAGTGATCGCATCGCCGCAACCACACCAGTGGTTGCATACACAGTGCGAACGTCGTTTGATTTCGATAGTCGTCGTTCATTCATGCTTCTGTGCTTATGACATCGGCAGATACATTTCTCGGATGTGGTGTGCATCCCACGCGAATGAATCTCCTCCGTCCGACTCACGCGCGCTATGCCATCTTCCCCCAATGAATCCAGCTCACTGCATTAAAGCTCAAGACCCAAATTGCACAAGATTACTAATCTTGCGTAAGTTTGAGTGCTAAGGGGTGGGTAGAGTCGAGGGGAGTGTTGGGAAGGTGACCTGTCTGATTTCGCCCGTAACGCTTGGTTTTTTCGCTGAGTCAGCGAACTTTCGGGGGAAACGTGGGTTTGGGGACCTCGAGTCCCAAATTGCGGAGTAGTAAAACTCAATGCTTTGGCAGTGAGTCTGGCTTCGACCAATCAGATTGCATCGCACCCTATTGTAACCAAATTTTCGCCACACACCAGCACAGAAAACGAGAAGTGTGCAAGATTACTAATCTTGCCGTGCGTGGCCCGCAATTTGGGCCTTGAGCTTTAAGGGATTCTGTGCCTTGGAAGCCGTTCGATAAGCAACATCGACGGTGACAAGTCGTATTTGCGACGACATTCACTTCCCAGGCACCACAGATCACACGAATGCGGAGGAATCAAAGGCTAGATCAAGTATCGAGGTGAGGGGGAGCGTGAAGGGGATGGTTAACGGAAGAAACCAAGGCAGCAACAGCAGCAGGAGCAGCACACCCGCACCGACCAGATAACCCCCTCACCATTGCTGTCATGCTTCACTTGCAAATTCTCTACCTCTTCGACTTGCGTCTGGCTCATAGAAATGTCATGTCATGTCTCAATTCAAATCCCTCTTCAGTCCCATTCTCATATGTGCTTCTTTTCATATGAAGAGCAATCTAGTGTGAGGTAAAACCAGCCTACAGCGGGATTGTTGGCTGGCGGAGTAGACATGAGAGCACACGTCAGAACAATAATCGTCGCACATTCACAGCATTTGCATTTAACCCTTCCTTTGTGCATAATAGGCTCCACATCCGTCTTCGCACAGCATCACCCGTGGTGATACCTATGGCGTTCGTTCTGCTGGTGCCAGCAGCAGGCGCGGCAGTACTGGGATTCAAGGCCTTACTTGGAAAAAATAAGTCGGCCGACGGTTCATCTAAGAAGCTCGTAGGCGACAAGGCTGATAACAAAACCCCCCTGACTAATACTTCCCCTGTCGACGGCTCAAGCGCTATGGATAATGCCGGCGATTCGGATGCCGAAATTAACATGGAGGCTCACGTGGATACATCCGACGGTGCAGATTCACGCGAGGGAGCAGGCGCGCAGGCGCAGCAGCCGCCGGACGGAGGATATAACTCCACCGGAGCAGTGGCCGCGGGTTCAAGCAGCGCGGCTGACGCATATTCAGGCGGCGCGACAGACGCAAATACCTTTGTGGCTCGCAATGTGGTGGAACTTGCGACTACACCGAAGACCTTGGCAGGTAAACTGCCCGAGTGTACATCCCACGAAGCTTCACAAGAGCAAGGAGCTAAGGCGTCGGTGGAGGAGGAGAAGGAACAGCGAGCACCAGGCAACGAGATGGCGTCGCCGTTCTCTGGAACAATTCCGACAAACGAATCTGGCGCGGACAATGCGGGTGCATCCGAGAATGATGGCGTTCGCCACGGCCGCAACGACGGTCGCTCGACCGGATTGGCGGAGAATTACGCTTCAGAGCCCCTAACGCCTCCTGAGGTGCTTCAGAATCACTCTTCAGGGCCCCTGATGGCCGTAAAACCCATGGCATCGCAGGAGCATGCACGCGCGGAAGATGCGGGGAAGGACGAGGCGGAAGATCTGGCGCTACTGGCGATGATTGGCGCGATTCAGGGGAGGCCGGCGCGAAAGAATGCGGAGTGCGTGGCCGGTGTCGCGGCGAATGCCGGCACCGGACCTTGCTGTATCGCGAATGCAGGCGAATTCGGCGAAGAAAAAGCCGTCCTTCACGGCAACGGTGTAGCTCGAGAAGGTCCAGCCTGCGAAATTGCCATGGCCGCTTCGCTGCCCATCCAGTCCGCCGTTCCCGAGAACTCGTTTCCGGCGGAGCGAGTCGGAACCCGCGGAGAGGCGGAAGGCAAGCGCGCGGAGCTGTCGGAGCTGCAGCGCGAGCTGCGGGAATTGGGGGCGGCGCTTCAGGCGGAGGCGGAGAGGGAGCGCGTGCTAGAGAGCGATATAGAGGCGTCGGAAAGCGGGCGGGAGGAGGAGGAGCGGAGTGCGGAAGAGAGCACGGCAGAAGGAGGAGGGATTGAGAAATGCGCGGAAGATAGCGGGATCGATATCTCATGTGAAGAATCGGAGGGAAGCAATGGCACCGTGGACGTGCGCAGTGGCATTTGCTTTGGCGTCTCGCCTTCTGGACAAGAGGCCGCTAGAGACTCGCGCTGTGCTGCTGGGTGCTTACACGGGAGTGTCGAAAGCCTCGAGAGCGGAGTGCAGGGAGTGCAGGGGGGAGAGAGGCCAGGTGCGGGGAAGCACGGCGCGCGGAACGGCCGCGGGAGCAGCGTTTGGAAGAATGCGGCGGCGCATGGGAGGGGCCGCGGGCGGCTTGCGCTTGCGCCGCACGGTGTGCGCGGGGTTCCCGAGACGGCCGGGGTGGTGAAAGGACGTGAGCAGCAGGGGCAGCAGCGGGAGTGGGAGGCTGAGCGGCGGATTCGGCGGGCGGAGGCGGTGGGGCGGAAGCGAGCGGATGCTGAGAGAGGCGCGGAGAAAGGAGGGGTTGAGAGGAGGTTGCAGGAGGTGGAGAGGAGGGAGAGGGAGCTGAAGGAGTGGCAGAAAAAGTTGGAGGAGCGAGAGAAAGAGATGGACGAGAATGATGAGAAGAAAAAAGAGGTGGAGAGATGGGCGGAGGAGGTGAGGGGTGCGGAGGCAGCGGTTAAGGTGAGAGAGGAGGAGGTGGAGTGGCGGGGGGTGGTGATTGGGAAGCGAGAGGAGGACGTTGCGGGGCGCGAGGAGGTCGTGGGTCGACGGGAGGAGAAGGTGGTTGCATTAGAGGAGGGGGTGAAGCGGCGAGAGCAGGAGGCTGATACGAGGACGCGTGAGGTGGAGGGGAGGGAGGAAGAGGCGGAAGAGAGGCGGAGGATGATGGAGGGGGAACTGGAGAGGTTAGCAGGGGAATTGGCGCAAGTGGAGAAACTGAGAGAGGCGTGCGGGGAGAAGGAGGCAGAGGCGGAGAGGCGAGGAGAGGAGGTGAAGGGACGAGAGGAGGAGGTTAAGAGGAAGGAGGAGGAGGTGATGGGACGAAAGGAGGAGGTTAAGAGAAGGGAGGAGGAGGTGGAGAGGCGAGAGGAGGAGGTCAAGGAACGCGCTGAGCACGTAGGAGAGCGGGAGGAGGAGGTGGAGGTGAAGGGTCGATTGGCAGAGGTGGAAGAAGAAGCGGGCGAGGTCAGGAGACGAGTGAAGGAGGTGGAGGAGAGGGAGGGGGCCGTGGGGAGGAAGCAGGAGGATTTAAATATTAAAGAGGAACAAGTTGTGACGGCGAAGGGAGAGCTGGTGAGGAGAGAGGGGGAGTTAAAGGTAAAAGGGGAAGAAGTATCGCAGAAAGAGGTAGAGATGAAGCAGAAAGAGGAGGTGATGGAGAGGAGAGAGAAGGAGTTGGCGGAGAGAGGAGAGGAAGTGGCGAGGGCAGAGAAGGAGGTGCAGCAGCAGCTGCTGGCTTTGGACGAGAAAATGAAGGGGGTGGATGAGAGAGGGGGGGGGGGTGGGGGTACGGGAGGTGGGAGTAGCAGAGAGGGAGAGGCAGGTAGAGCAGGAGAAGGAAGAGGTCACGAAGAGGGAAACAGAGGTGGGTTTACGAGAGGAGGAGGTGGGAAGGAGAGAAAGAGACATTGCTGAGAAAGAGGAGGAGGTGGTGAGAAGAGAGGGTGAGTGTGTGGAGAGGGAGAGTAGGGTGGAGGAGGAGATGGAGGGGATGAGGGAGGCGATGGGGCGGGTGGCGAGAGGGGCGGCTGGGAACGTGGAGAAGGAAGCAGAAGTGGAGGAGGCAAGGAGGGAGGTGAGGGAGATGGAGGAGCAGGTGGAGGGGAGACGGCAGGAGGTGGAGCGGCAGGAGCAGGAGGTGCAGGCGCGGGCAGAGCAGATGCAACGGCTGCTGGAGGAAGTGGAAACGCGCGAGAAGGCCGTGGGCGTGGCTCAAGGGAACGAGAGGGAGGTGGCAGAGGTGATGGCGGCGATGGGAAGGAAAGAGGCGGAGTGGAAGGAGAAGGAGCTGCAGCTGCAAGCAGAGGTGAAGGAACTGCAGAGGGAGAAGGAGGCGATGCAGGAGAAGGAGCGGGAAGCGGTTGTTGGGAGGGAGGCGAGTGAGATGGAGGAGCAGATGGGTGTGTTGACAGAGATGAGGGAGAAGATGGAGGTGCGAGAAGGGGAGCTTGTGGAGTGGGAGGAGAGGGTTAAGAGGCGAGAATTGGAGGTGGAGGAAAGAGAGAGAACGGTGGAAGGGAGAGAGGAGGCGACGGGAAGAAAGGAGAGGGCAGTGGAGGAAAGGGGGGAGAGAGTGGGGGAGAGGGAGAGGGCAGTGGAGGAAAGGGAGGAGAGAGTGGGGGAGAGAGAGAGGGAGGTGAATGGGCGAGAGAAGGAAGTGGGGGAGAAAGATGAGAAGGTGAAGGAGAGAGAAGACAAAGTGAAGGAGAGGGAAGAGAAAGTGTGTGTAAAGGAGGCGGAGGTGAGAGCGGCAGAGGAGGAGGTGGGTGCACGGGCGAGGTTGGTGGAGGAGGACACAGTGCGGGTGTGTGGAGACATGGTCCGTGCAGAGGTGCTGCTGAGCGAGGCCCAGGGACGAGCAGCAGAGGTGGAGGGACGAGTGGCAGAGGTGGAAAAAAGAGAAGCCGAGGTGGAAAAGCGTGAGGCGGGGGTTGAGAGGAGTGAAGCTGCGGTGAAGGAGAGAGAGGAAGAGGTGGAGAGGAGAGAGGAAGTGAGGGCTGCTGAGCTGCAGCGGAGGGAGGAGGAGGTAGGGCAGCGAGAGAAGGAGGTGGAGAAGCGAGAGGAGGAGGTGAGTGCGGCGCAGAGGAACGTGCGGGTGAAAGAGGAGGTGGTGGATAGGCAGCTTCGGATGGTGATGGAAAGACAGGAGGATGTGGCGCGGAGGGAGGAGCAAATGAGGGACGAGGAGGAGGAGAAGGGGAGGGAAGAGGAGAACGCGATGAAAGAACGGGATTTGGAGTTGGAGAGGAGGGGTGGGGAGAGGGAGGTGGAGGTGGCTGAAAGGGAAAGGCAAGTGGTTGAGAGAGAGGAGGAGGTGAGGAGGAGAGAGGTTGAGTGTGTAGCGAAGGAGGGAGAGGTGGGGGAGAGGGAGAGGAGGGTGGAGGAGGAGATGGAGGGGATGAGGGAGGCGATGGGACGGGTGGCGAGGGGGGCGGCAGGGAACGTGGAGAAGGAAGCTGAGGTGGAGGAGGCGAGGAGGGAGGTGAGGGAGAGGGAGGAGCAGGTGGAGGGGAGACGGCAGGAGGTGAAGCGGCAGGAGCAGGAGGTGCAGGCGCGGGCAGAGCAGGTGCAACGGCTGCTGGAGGAGGTGGAATCGCGCGAGAAGGCCGTGGGCGTGGCTGAACGGGAGAGTAATCTGATACGAGAGAGGAAAGAAATAGACGCAGCAGCTTCCAAGGACCAGGACATGGGAAGTGGGATTGACCAGCCGAAGCAGCAGCAGCAGCAACAGAGTCAATGGGCGCTGGCGAAAGCGGACGGTGCAGAGGAAGTGGGAGGGTCAGCAGCAGCAGCAGCACGTGTGGGTGAGTTAGAAGAGGAGGTGGAGCGGCAGCAGTGTGTCATGATGAAGATGGAAGCTCTCATCGCTGCTGCTAACGCTGAGATGAAGGATCTGATAAAGCAGAAAGAAACAGCAAAGGAGGAGCTTCGAGAGGCCGTTGTGAGAGCGGAGAGGGAGCGGGAGAAGGAGAGGGAGAGGGAGAAGGAGAGGGAGAAGGACCGGGAGAAGGTGCGCCAGCAGAGGCTGGAGCAGGAGGAGAAGGAAAAGGAGCTGGAGAGGAGAGAGGCGGAAGTGGAGGGGGGTATGGGTGAGGTGAAGAGGAGGGAGGTGGCACTGGTGGTGAGGGAACTGAGGGTTGAAGCAGAGGCGGAGGCGCTGGGAAAGGAGATGGATAGGCTGGCAGCCATGGCTGCTGCGAACGCAGAGAAGGCGTGTGAGCTGGATGAGAAGCGAGAGCTGGTGGATCAGAGGGAGGAGGCGGTTGGGAGGAGGGAGGCGGAGGTGGAGCGAAAGATGGAGGAGGTGAGGAGGAGGGAGAGGGAGGTGGAGGATGTTGTAAGCAGTAAGGGAAGGGAAGCAGAGGAGGAGGCGAAGGCGGAGAGTGAGAGGCTGAAGGTGGAAGTGCAGCGGTTGAGAGAGGAGGTTGAGAGAGCTGAAGAGGGGTTTAGTAAGGCGAAGGAGGAGGTCAAGAGGGCGGATGAAGAGGTGACTGTGCTTACTGTGCGGGATGCTGAGAGGGGTGAGGCAGAGGAGAGGCTGAGAAGAGAGGTTGGTAGGCTCGAGAAAGAGATTGGACAGCTGAAGGAGAGAATGAAAGAGAGAGAGTGTGAGAGCAGCAAGATGGGTGAGGTGCTGAGGAGGAGGGAGGCGGAGATAGAAAGGCAGGAGGAGGAGGTGAAGAAGCGAGTGAAGGAGGTTATGGATAAAGCGGCAAGGATGGAAGAGATGAGGAGGGAGGCCAAGGCTGGGGCTGATAAGCGGAGCTCGGATGTGGAGATGCGGTGGAGAGAGGTGGAGATGAAAGAGAAAGAGGTGGACAAGCGGATGGCTCTGCTGCGGAAGAAAGAGGCAGAGAAGGAGAAGGAGCTAGAGGAGGAGATGGAGAGAGTGCAAGCGGCTACAGCCCGAGTGGCTAAGGGTTTGGTGGCTAATGCTGCTAAGGAGGCTGAGTTGGAAGGGATGAGGCGAGAGGTGGAAGAACAGGGGAAGAAGGTTAGGAAGATGGAGGAGGAGATGGGGATAGTGATGGAGAGTGTGCGGAAGAAGGAGGAGGAGGTGGTGAGGCGGATGGGAGAGTTTGAGGAGAGGATTGAGGCTTTGGCAGTGCGGGAGAGGGAGGTGGAGTGGTGGAAGGAGGAGGCGGAGAGAGTGAGGAAACAGGCTGCTGAAGTGGCTGAGGCAAGGGCTGTGAACGAGGAGAAGGAGAGGGAAATGGCGGCGTTGAGAGATGCAGTGAGCGCGAAAGAGGAGGTGATTCGGGTGAAGGAGGAGGAGATGAAAGCTAGAGAAGAGGGTGTGAGGGTGGAGAAGGAAGGGGTGAGGGCGAAGGAGGAGGGGATGAAGGCGAGGGAGGAGGAGCTGGAGAGGCGAGAGGAGGAGGTGGTGTTGTGGGAGGAGGAGCTGAAGAAGGACAAGGAGAAGCTGGCAGAGCAGCTGGCGGGTCAGAGCAAGAGGGAGGCGGAGTGGAAGGAGAAGGAGCGGCAGCTGCAGGAAGAGGTGGAGAGGCTGTTGGTGCTGGTGGAGCAAGCAGGCACAGGAGCAGGAGGAGGGGCAGGAGGAGCAGGAGGAGCAGGAGGAGCAGGGGTAGGGTCGCGGTTTGAAGGGGTTCAGGTATCGCCAGGGGGGCGTTTTGAGGGGGGGCAGTATGCAGGGGCGCGTTTTGAGGGGGCATTAATGCCAGGGGGGCGACTTGAGGGGGGGCAGAGAGAAGGTGGGGCATACTTCGATAGGGCTCTGCGAGAAAAGGCACGGTTCGAGACACTAGCAACGGCAGCAACGGCGGATAGGGACAGGGTGATGGGGGTGGTGAGCGGCATGCTGCGATCACCAGGCAGCGCCGGGGCTGGAAGGGGCTTGGGCAGGGGCGGAGGGTTGGATGCAAGGAGTAGTGGGCATTTGCAGCTGAGGAGGAGTGCGAGTGGCAGCGGGTTTGGTAGCGGGGTTGTGTATAAGAGTGCAAGCACGAATGCTCTTTCGCACAATATGAGCTTTGGTTCGGCCGCTCAGAGGTCGCCCCGGATTCCCGGTAGTGCGAGGCCTGGGAGTAGTGGTTCGGGGAGTGGTTCGGGCAGTGGCATAGGTCTAGGCATGGGCATGGATACAGTTCTGGAGACTGGTGGGCCAACTACTGCAGCCGCCGCCGCAGCAGCAGCAGCAACAGCAAGTGGAGCATGGGGAGGAGCAGTGGAGGATAACTACTTGTATCAGGCCAGCTTTAACAGGTGTGTCTGGGAGTTGACTTAAGTGGGGGTACGTGCGTGGGCTTGGCTGTCTCACCCCATTTTTTCGATCCATCCATCTACTTACTATCATGCCAGTCATTGGTGTTGTGGTTGCTGTTGCCTGTGCTAGTTGCCTGGCTGCTGCTCAGTGCCGCACTTCCCTCATGCACCATGTGTTGGTCAGCTGTATCATCCTTTTTCTTGTGTGCCAATGTGTTCTTCCCTGCATGGGTTCAGGCGCTGATGTGAGCTGGGATGGTGCCGTAATGGGAAGGGGGGAGAGGACACTAGCTCTGGCACTGCTCCAACCTGGCTGTACATCCACTTTCCTCAAACTCACCTCGAGGTTAGTTGTCAGTTGAATTCCTTTCTGTGCCTGTGTTATCAGTGCTGTTTCCGATGATCGTCTGTGCTGGCTGAAACATCCCTCCATGTAACCACTTTGCCGCGTTATTGTAACCACACGACCTGTGAGGCATAAGGTTTTAAGACTTCAACCCTTTGTGGAATCACTTTCAGCCTTTATATATTTATCGCTATCCCATCCTTTTGTGTTCCATTGTGCAAATGGTGTATTGCAGGGGTGCGGGAATGCTGCAATAGCCAGTTAACACTGCTGTGAGAGACTAGTTGCCTACCTGCCGAGAACGGCCGTCACCTCTCCATCCAGCTTGAGCACTGACTGCAAACGCCAGGCGGATGATATGGCGAGCTAACCATAAGAATGCTTAGCAAGTTCCTGATTTTGTTTGTGTTTGTGTTTGTGCTTGTGCGTGTGCGTGTGCGTGTTTGTGTGTGTGTGGGGGGGGGGGGGGGAGTACGGTACTCTGTGGTTCAAGCCAGCAGACATAGGTACAGCTGCTTTGGATAGTATCGTCCACCACACTATATTGTAAACCTGATTTGTGCCCACTGAACACGAAGCCCCAAAACAGTCGATATTGTTAGTAGGAGTGGGGAATTATTTTCAAAGAGCTGTAACTTCTTAGGCTGGTTGTATTCATGTTTGTTCGTAACATATTTCAGATTAGGTGTTGTTCGAGTTGGCATTCGAAGGAATGCTGATGAATGCCCGGAAAAGTAACGACCAACTGGATGGGTCATGCCTCGATTTTTTCAAATTCGGGATTACGCGTCCGGCCAATCCGGCAACTCTTGGTGATCTTCTCGCTTCAATCACTCGCTGCATAGCTTTTCAACCAGCAGCTGACTCTTCTTTCCACATGTAAAGTTCGGCTCGACTGCCACGTAGGAATTTACCGCGGCCCGATTCTCGAGAAACATGAAGCGTGGCGCGGAGGGTGGGTCCGCGCCCGCAAATGAGTCGTCTTTCGCCGCCAGTAGAGTACGCATGGGGAACTTTAGAATGGGGGCACACAATGATGGGCTCCAAGATCTCGTGGACCAATAGGGAGCTTCAATGCGGTACCATCGCGATCAGGTGGGGATCAAGGGAACCCCTACATCCGCTGAGGAATGCTATCTGCAGATGCTGGCACCAGCGGAAATCTAGGTTAGCCTCATCAACACACCGCCTTTTATATTAGCTTTATCCCTTCCCAACCCATCTCAAACTAGACAAACCACTAGGAAACGTTTTACACGCCTTTCTGACGCAGCATACAGCAGCAAACAGATGTTGGATTGGAATTCCCTTGTTGCTGCTGAGGGATGCAAGCTGTGTTCCCGAGTCGAACCGACGAACCCAGTCCCACGTGACATGCTGCCGCAGCTTCCGCAAGCAGAGAGCGCTAGGCCACATGCTTTCTCCCGGTGAGCATTTTTGGTCCGTCCATCGCACCGCAGCATGCGGGCAGATTAGGGTCAGCGAATCTCGCTGGCGTTGAGTGTGAAATCTCATTCCTATCCTCAGAATTTCCAGGGGAATTCTGGGTGCGCAAGGAGGATCAGTACACTACTACACTACCTTGCCGAGCCTGAGGTTCTGTGGTACCGTAGCTGTGACAGATGCCATCGTCGTCTCTTTTTACGTAATTTGTCGAGCTTCGTTGCTCGTCATGACCAGGAGCCATGGGCTAGTGCAAAAGCATTAGGACGGAATGTTAGTAGCGGAGGGGTCTGCTGTAGTACAGTAGTGGAGGGCTCCTTTTTATTCTACCGCACGAGGCGTTGACGGAGTCGTTCCGTAGCTAGAGCATCAGGGGTCGGGGCTGATAACTTTCATAAACTAAGGGGCTTAAACTTCCACTAGTTTCTTTAGAAGCCGCGTCCTCAGAGTCATTCAAGGAAGCGGCTAAAGAGGATTTTTCTTCTCATCCCACTTCGAAATTACACACCTCCACAACAGCTAGCTGCCTGGCGATGCTCAGGGTGCTGGGGGCGCCAGACAGGCGTTGACCGTTGAGATGTCGCCAGAGGCAGGCCGGCTTGCTGCTGCTATAGAGAACATGGCAGCAGTCAAGCTTCACGACAGTCTCCAGCTGCCAGACGAGCTCCTGCAGCAGGTGCTTTAGCTTCCCTGCTGCTTTAGACTTCCAGGATGCTTTAGCTTCAGTTGTCGTAGCTCTACCAGCTTGTAGACAGGCAATGACGTCCTGCGTTGCTTGTAGCGTCTCCTCTACCAGCAGCTAGTGTTGGAAATTCTGAGCGGTTCAAGGGTAGCAATTTGCTGTTCCGTTCCTTGTAGTGTAACTTCAGTTTCCACGCCATACCCTTACTCAGGCCGTCCCGCCTGCCGTGTTATGACTTAGCTCTGTGCAAGGTCTAGCTTTTGTGCGGAAACACGTCCAACATGCACTATATCCTCCAACCATGCAGCAAGGACGTTCGCGAGCATAATCGGCTCGCATCTTCCCTCTTGTTCCGTGGTGCAGGTGTTTGCATACCTCGGACCCCGCGAGCTGCTCAGGGTGGGTGGAGTGAGCACGCTGTGGCACCGAGTATCGTGCGCAGACCCCATCTGGGAGAGCATATGCGTCAAGCGCTGGAGCGTGTGGGACAGGTACCCTGCTATCACCTCCGCGCTTCCCGCGGAACAATCATTCCGGACAGCCGCAGCCGGAAGTAGTAGGTCCGTTCTCGGTCGGGAAGACAGGCTAGAGAGGTTCCGTCAAACAGCCGTCTCCGTCCCGCCGCCGGCAGTCAGAGGGGCGGCAGAATTTGCTAGTAGGCAGCCTGGGAGGGAGGGCCCTTGGAGTGGAACCGTAAGAAGCGATACCAGTGCGCGCGAGACTCCGCTGAGACGAGATGTCCCTGCGGGCTCTGCGGAAGAGGAAAGCGGGGAGAGCCCATTGCGTGCCGGTACGCACGAGCCGCACGCAACACACCTCAGGCCGGCTCAAGCTTCCGCCGACAGGGAAGCATCAGGGGCGACTGCTACTGCGACTGCATCCGCTGAAGCGGCTGCTCCGTTCTCAGGCGCCGCTGCGAGGAGAGAAGAGGCATGGCACGAGGGCACGGGGAGGCTAATCCGGGACGAGCGGTTGGGACGAGTTGCCGGTGCATCGGCCATGGAGAGTGCGACGGGCTCGGGCAGAGCAGGCGACATGAGGGAGGTGTACGAGGCGTGGATTCGCGAAGGGGGTGGCGACGACGAAACGAGCGACGGACGGTCGGGGTGGCAGGAGTTTTCGCGGAGAGCGCGGCACTGGGGGTGGCGGGCGGTGTTCCGGTTCAGAGTGGTGATAGAGGAGGAGGTGCGAGGGGTGCTGGCGGATATGGCGTGGCCGTTGCGGCGCCCGCAAGCCATCCGAAGAGTCTTGCAGCTGGGGAACCTCGTTGTCGAGGTACGGTATGGTCTGGTACGGTACGGTGTGGTACTCAATAAATACCACCCGTTTTCCGAAATTCCTTTACTCCCAGTTTCGCTGTGTGACTGAGTGTGTTTCTTATTTCTGTTTCCCCGCACCTGTGTCCTTGCTGCAGGAACTGGAGCGGCTGGCGGAGACGGGAGATGCTCTGTCGGCTGGGACTCGGTACTTTGCGCGGGAGGCGTTGCATCACCTGCACACACGCACATGCGTGCTGGATATGAAACGGTTCCTCCGCTTGCCGCCAGACACGGTGAGGAGCGCCTCCGTGCAGCCGTATGAGCCCTGCTTCTGCTGCCGCTGCTGCTTCTGCTGATGCTTCTGCTGCTGCTTCTGGTGCTGCTGGTGACTGGTTCTGCCATTCCTGTTGCTGCTCCTGCTCCTGCCCCTGCTCCTGCTCCCCTTCCTCCTGCTTCTGCTGCTCCTGCTCTTCCGCTGCCTCCTCCTCCCTTTCTTCGAGCTGCTATTCAGCTGTTCCTGCTCCTGCTCTTCCTGCTTCTGCTGCTCCTGCCCCTGCTCCTGCTGCTCCCATTCTTCTTGCTCCTGATTTGCCTTTCCTGCTCCTGCACGTGCGGATGCTGGCGTGTGTGGTGATGGCGATGGACACTGGAAATTGTTAATCTCTGGACAAGCTTCTTGTTGTGCACTTCATTTCCTGAGTGACACCCGCTCTCGTCTGAATGCATCATTTGTTAAATGCGGATCTTTGTCTTGTTTCCCTTCTCTTCTCCTACGTGTATGTACTTGGCAGTTGGAGGACGAGATAGCACGTGGGGCGCTGATAGTGGCAAAGCTAAGGTACTGGCGGGCCCGCGTCCCTTGTCATGCCACCGCTCCGCTCACTGCTCTCTCTCTCCCTCTCCCTGCTGCTCACACTCTCTATCTCTCCCTCTCCCGGCAAACACCACTTCTCTACATCGTACTCGTCAGTATTCCTCTTTCTTCGCCTCCGCGAGCCACCCTTCCTCCATTGCTCCTCACAAGCCCTTAATTGTGGTCATTGCCATTATGTGCTCTGTTCTCTCACCTTTCCTCCCCCTTCCCCCCTTCACCCCCGTTGTTTTCGACCATGCAGATACCGTGATCTGGACACGGACGCAGTCTTGAATCGCCTAGCGGACACCGCTGCTGTTCTGCGCGCACGCATTGCCAGCAGCCCACTGTCAGTGTCACTCATTCCGTCTACCTGCCCAAAGTCCGTCTTACGCCTGTCTGTTGACATGTACTGTCTGCCCCCTCTGCACATTTTCTGCCCCTAAAAATTTTCTGGAAATTTTGTATGGTCATTGTGTTCTCTTCTCTCTTCCACCTAGTCCACTCCCCTCCCCTCACGTTCTGCTTTCCTTTGTTTTTTTTTCAAAATTCCTGTGTTTGTGACAGGGTGAGCCGGTACGGAGGCCCGTCTACTCCCCGTGGTGCCGTGGCCGCTCTTCAACTGCTCAATGGACTTCTCTTCGGCCCGCCAGGGACTGCTGCACAGCCCAGACCACCACACCAGCACCTGCAGCCGCAGCAGCAGCAGCGTCAACCCCAGCATCAGCAGCGGCTACTGCCGCAGCAGCTTCAACAGCAGGACCAGCAGCAGCAGCCGCAGCTGCTGCAGCAGCAGGAGCCTGTACAGCGGCAAGCAGGTGAGGCGCAGGCGCTTGCGCAAGCAGAGGGAGCAGCAGCTGGAGGTGTGCGGGAGAGACACGAGGCGGGTGTCGGGAGCAGGGAGGCTGCTGCAGAACAGGCAGAAGCAGGGACTCCAGGCACGGCTGAAGGAGCTGCTGCTGCTGCTGCTGCTGCTGCTACTGCTACAATTGGTGGGACAGCTGCTACTATTGCTGCTGTTGCTGGTGATGAGGGGGCAGAAGAAGAAGATGGGGCGGAGGAGGAGGAGGAAGAGGATGAGGAGGAGGAGGGGGACGCGGAGGAGCAAGAGGAGCAGGAGGAGGAGGGGGCGGCAGGGCGGGAGCGCGAGCAGGAGGACCCAGAGTGCCTGCATTTAGACGGCAACAGAGACGACTACTACAACCCGCGCAACTCGTACATAAACGATGTGCTGGACTCGCGACGAGGCATCCCTATCAGCCTGGCCGTGCTGCATGCTGCCATAGGGCGCGCGTGCGGCATCCCGGTGCGCATGGTGGGCATTCCGCTGCACTTTCTGACCAAGGTGGGCGAGGACGGGCAGATGGAGGAGCGGTTCATGGACTGCTTTAATCGACGGCTGCTGCACCGCGAGGAGTGCGTGCAGCTCATCAGGTGCGCTCTCTCCTGTCACCTCACGCCCCACCTCTCGCCCCACCTCTCGCCCCACCTCTTCCTCCACCTCTCCCCCCACCTCCCCAGTCCAAACCCCCCATCCGCTTTCCCCCATTCTGATCCCCCTCTTCCATTCCCTTCCTGGCCCTCATTCCGCCCTGTCCTCCTCCTCGCCATCCCCGTTGTGTGCTACCTGGTTGCGTTGCGTGCAGGTCCATGGGGTTGGAGTATAACCCTCGTCTGCTGGCTCCTGTTTTTGACACGTCTCAAAAACACCCTCTCTACACGTGCGTGCTGGCTGGTTGCGTGCAGGTCGATGGGGTTGGAGTACAACCCGCGCCTGCTGGCTCCTGTGGGCGCACAGGCCGTGCTTGTCCGTATGTGCAACAACCTACTCGCCATCTATGCGCAGGTACGTGCACAGGCACGCATGCGCGCACGCGCGCGCACACACACACTGCTTACTCACTTCCCATTGCCTGCTGACTTAAAGTCTCTGTTGCTCCGTTTTCCACCCACCCTGCATCGTTCATCCACCCCCCCTGCACTCCCACCCGCCCGTCCTCCTGCCCCCCTACCTTCCTGACCCCTCATGCCCTCCTGCCCTCCTGCCCTCCTGCCCTCCTGTCCTTTTGCCCCCTCCTGCCTTCCTGCCCTCTAATCCTCCTGCTCCCCTGCCCCCTGCTCCCCTCACAATGAACAGAGGGAGGCGGATGGCGACGGCAGGACACAGCCATCACGGGACGCGCAGAGGCGCCTGCTACCGCTCCTGGACCTGCTGCTAGCCGTGAACCCCAGCGACGTGGGCGAGCGATTCCACAAGGCGAAGCGGCTGCTCACCGTGCCTGACTTTGACGCCCTCCTGCCCTCCTCCCCTCCCACCCTCCCGCCCTCTTTCCCCCTCCTGCCCCTCCGCCCACCTGCCCTCCTGCTCCTGCCCCCTGGCCCCGACAATCTACAGAGGGAGGCGGACGGCGACGGCAGGACGCAACCATCACGGGACGCGCAGAGGCGCCTGCTACCGCTGCTAGACCTGCTGCTAGCCGTGAACCCCAGCGACGTGGGCGAGCGATTCCACAAGGCGAAGCTGCTGCTCACCGTGCCCGACTTTAATGCCCTCCTACCCTCCTCCCCTACCTCCCTGTCGCCCTCTAACCCTCCTCCGCTCCTCTCCTGCCCCCTGGTCCCGTACACCAAGCAGAGGGAGGCGGATGGCGACGGCAGGACACAACCATCACGGGACGCACAGAGGCGCCTGCTGCCACTCCTGGACCTGCTGCTAGCCGTGAACCCCAGCGACGTGGGCGAGCGCTTTCACAAGGCAAAGCTGCTGCTCACCGTGCCTGACTTTGACGCTGTGACTGCAGAGCTGCACGTGCTGCTGCAGGCGTCAGGGCAGCAGGGGGGCGTGCCGGGCGCGGTTCCGCGCGCGCTGCTGCAGCAGTTCATGGACAACGCACAGCAGATGCGCCGGCAGCATGAGGTATAAATACATGCTTGTTTGCACACACTCGTGCATGCATGCACGCACGCGCGCGCTGCTGCAGCAGTTCATGGACAATGCACAGCAGATGCGGAGGCAGCACGAGGCAAGTCCGCACGCATGGATGAACACATGCACATGCACGCACACGCACACATATGCACGTTCGCACGCGCGCTGCTGCAGCAGTTCATGGACAACGTGCAGCAGATGCGCAGACAGCACGAGGCAAGAGCCCATCCAAGCACGCACGCATGCACGCAGGCTTGCACGCACACATGCGCGTGCTGCTGCAGCAGATGGGCAATGCCCAGCGTATGCGCTGGCAGCACGATGCAAGAGCACATGCATGCACGTGCGGCCGTGCTCGACTTCTTATGCTCCCCGCACTATCTTTCTCACCCTCGTGCTCCACACCATAATGCTTGCTTTCTGGTCCGCATTCATGAGGCACAACCTTAGCATGCTTGTCTTAGATCCCACTTTGCTTCTCTTCTCCACGCCCCCAATATCCCCGTTTCCCATTGTGCTTCATCCAGCTGTGGTGCAACGAGCGTTTCACGCCCCGGCCAGCGGACCTGGCATTCCGAGTGGGCACAATAGTGCGGCACCGGCGGTTCGGGTACCGTGGGATAGTGTTCGGGTGGGACCCTCGCTGCACCGCGGACGAGACATGGATAGCGCAGATGCAGGTGCGTGCGCGTTTGCAGACAGACTTTTGAGAAGTCTCAAAAGTGCGTATCCAGTCTAGTGATATGTCCCTTTAAACCTGGTAGGTGGTCAATGCCTGCACGCACTAATCGCCCGCACGTGATGGTGCTGGCTGTGCTGTGCTGTGCTGTGTGGGGGGCACAGGTGGACAAGCTGCGTCTGGGGCGAGTACAGCCCTTCTACCGACTGCTCGTGGATGTCAGGGATCACCCTCACCACACCACCTATGGTGGGTCTCGCAACACCCATTCGCTGCGCATGTGTGCATGCAGAGTAAAGCTTCCACCATTCCAGGTTTCGGCTCCCTCTTCCCCCAACCCCAACGTCTTTCCAGCCCGACTTCCAGATAAATCATGGCTGCTTGCACCTGTGATGCGAAGGCTCGCTCCCCTCAGCCTGCCTACCGTCTCTTCCTCTCGCTGTCTCTCCCTCCATTTGCTCCATACAGTGCCCCAGGAGAACCTTGTTCCATCGCCAGAAGTTGGGCCTGTACACAATGAGGAGCTTGGAGCCTACTTCCTTGGACTCAGGTACTAGTTGGAGTTATGTGAAAGGTATCTGCTCTGCAATCGCTGGTACTTGGGCTCAGGTACTGCCTTGGCTCCCTCCCGTTCTGTGTGGTCCGACAGAACTTATTTATAATGTGTATGGTGCTTAACTGAAACTCTTTCTCAAATTATGCACAGTCTCATTCTCCTAGGCCTCCATCCACTTTTCTATCTGTGTGGGCCGCTCTTCACAGACGTTGCCTCAGTTTTATCTGGATACTTCTGTTGTCGTCCTCGGTTCCTTGGTTTGTGTGCAGAGCGGGGCGATACGTGCCGAATGCCTACTTGCGCTATCGCTATCCCGACGATGCTCCTGATGCGGCTGGAAGATAAAATGGTACTACTGGCCGTCAGCAGCAGCTGCGCAATGGCTTGTAGAATAGAGTGACGGCGGTTGTGGTGTTGAGTGCGGTTTGGAGTGGTTTGCACATAACTCATTGTGTGTGTTTAATACGCATGTGTAGTTAATTGTGATGTGATCGCGCTTGTGTGAGCAGTTGAAGGCTAATGGCTTCTGCTGTATGCTCCCATTTTGGTGTGTTGAAGTAAAAAATGTGTCGCAATCTAATTGTGTGCAAGAGGAGGTCTGTTCAACATACGTACAGCTAATTTCTGCACTTCAATTACAGACTTAATACCGTAGCTTCTCACACTTACCGTACCATACCATATCTTCAATCTCAGCTCTTTTATTACTAGCATATCTTTTACACATTTCAGTTCAAGAGTACAGTACAATGGCCCTGTGGGCCTCACACGAATTCACATACAAGAAGCGATTCAGTACACACACACAAACACACACACGCGCATGCACACACACATGCACACTCCATATCGGTGGGTCGTGTGGTCACTGCGGCAGGAGTCTAGAAAGTGGCAAATTCTGAGTGACACAAGGGGGGAGCTTGAGCAGCCCAAGTGTCTTGCCGTGAGTAGCATGTGCCACTCTATGCACCGCTGCTGCTGCTGCTGACTGCTGAGCAGAGCTATTTAGCAGAGGCTTCACATCTGTAGCAGCAGCGGAGAATGGCTGGTGGTCGCTCTGCTGCTGCTCGCTTCCGTTAAAGTGCCTTGGCACACTGGAGAGTTGCTCCTGCAGTTACAGAACAGGGCAGAGTTTGATGAGAAAAAGGTACTGCGTGTTTTGAGACGTCTCAAAAGTCGCTTCCGTTAAAGTGCCTTGGCACACTGGAGAGTTGCTCCTGCAGTTACAGAACAGGGCGGAGTTTGATGAGAATAAGGTGCTGCGCGAATCAGAACGAGTACGCCTGGAAGGAGTCTACTTTTGCAATGCTTAAGAGGGGTGAAGGTGAGATAGTGAACGGATTAAGGGCGATATAAGTGCTTGGTGAAATGGCACCTGAACTGGCGGTGCAGCGGAGACGGGGGGGAGAACAAGAGCAGGGAGGGTGTTGGTGCTCCTGGTGTTCCCCTGCACATGCTGCTGCTGCTGCTGCTGCTGTGCGTTAGGAGCGTGGAGGTCGGAGTGGGGCAGGGAGAGCAGGGTGCCAGCAGCAGCAGCGAGAATGGCAGGCAGGGACTTGGCGGCCTGGCATGTGATGGCATCCAGTACTCTGGGATGGTTTGTCGGTGGTAGACAAGGGACGCAGCACGCAGGGGGGATGCAAGGGTCACACAGGGGCACACAAGGGGGAAGTGACAGGGGGAGGTGAGGGGGGCAAAATTGGTTAGTAAGCTGGATGGTCCAAGTGCTTCGAGATGCTACATGCACTGGTGATGAGAAAGAAAAGCTAACAGCATGAAGCAGTGGCAGAAGCATCAGCATCTACAGCAGCAGCGGTAGCAGTGGCAGAGGCGGTGGCAGCAGAGGCGCCTACTCGCTGTTGCTGGTGTTGAGTGCGAGCAGGATCTGCTGATTGAGCTTGTTGTGCTGCTTTAGCTCCTCCCATACCTGCCACCCCCCCCACACACACACACCACACCCACCACAATCACCATGTTCGAATCCCATTAGGCCAGTGAAAGCAGCAGCAGCAGCAGCTATGGCAGCAGAGGCCAGTGATGTCACACGTCGAATGGGAGGGAAGGAGGGTGCGAAGAGATGCGATGCGATGGGATGGGATGGGATGGGATGGGATGGGATAGAGTCGGATGGGGTGGGTTGGAACTTGGAAGCGAGGTGACCAGAACTGAAGCTTACATTAGTGAGCAGATTGTGCAGGGTCGAGTGATTTGCCTCCCACATGCTCCCATTTGTGATCTGCTTCACACGCAAGCAGACAGCAGTAGACGCAGAGAAGCACAACAGAATCAATATCGCGAATGGCTCGCAAGCAGCAACAGCAGGTCCTGGAAAACTCAGCTCATAAAACGAAGGAGAAAGAGGGCCAGCAACAGCAGCAGTGTAAGTGGACGTTTTTTAAAGTGTCTCATAAAGTCGTTTGAAGATTCTTCAAGGACCTTCCTTCCCATGCTGCCTTGACGCTACCCACACTCACACAAGAGGTCGGCTGCTGCTGCTGCTGCTGCTGCTGCTGCTGCTGCTGCTGCTGCTGCTGCTGCTGGTTGCCTTTGGAGGAGATCTTTCCCACCTGCCGCCTCAGCTCCTCAAGCTCCCTGGTGGTAGAGAGAGGGGGGCAAGTGGGGGGTGGGGGGAAATCAGGAGATAGACGGGACACCACATGCAAGCAAAAGAGAAGGCTAAAGGAAAAAAAAAAAAAAAAAAAAAAAAAACGAAATGACAAAAAAAAAAAAACCACGAAAGCATTTCGGAGGAGACGAGGGGAGGGCCAGCCGTCCTCTCACCTGCGCATGGCAGACACAGTGCCCCCCATCTTTTCCACATCCCTCTCAACCTTGTGGCACCGCTTGGTACCGCATGGCAAATGGGGGTCTGCCCCTGGCTTCCAGCCAGGTGGGGGCACCCACGTGGGGTCACTGATGCCAGCCGCCTGCAGGGAGGGCAGCGCAGAGAGTGTGGAGAGTGTGGGGGTGTGGAGTAGTGAGGAGTGAGAAGGAGCGAGGAGGAGTGTGGGGAGCTGAGTGGAAAGAAGCCACAACACCATTTCCACTGCCTGTGACAGCACGCACTGCATACGACCCTTCACACCCCATCTTCCCCCTCCATCCCCTCCCCTCGCTCTCTCTCTCTCCTTCCTCCCTTTCCCCCCTTCCTCACCACTCTGATGGCCATGAGCCCAGCGTCTTCCAGCCAGTACTCCATGGCGCCCTCGCTGTTGTGGCGGCAGCAGCATACATCCCGTCTCACCCCTGCACCTCCCTTCCCCACACCCCTCCCAACCCCTCTTCACATCCCTCCCCACCGTCCCTCACCGCTCTGATGGCCATGAGTCCAGCGTCTTCCAGCCAGTACTCCATGGCGCCCTCGCTGTTGTGCCTGCGTCTGAAGCGCTGCCCCGACGGCACCACGGTGTCGGTCATGTGCTTCAGCAGGTGGTCCAGCAGCCCCGTGTCTCCGATGTACCGCCGAGCCTCCTCCCGAAGCACCGGCCGCAGCATCGGCTTCCCGGGCCTCGCGCCCTGCGCCCGCATGATGTCCACCAGCTTCACCTGGGCCGTGCGGTACCTGCGTGAATTTTGACGATGGGGAGGGGAAGGAAGAATGGAATGGAGAGGAGGCCTGCGCTGTGTTGTAATGACGGGTCGTGGCCTTCCCGGGCCTCGCGCCCTGCGCGCGCATGATGTCTACTAGCTTCACCTGGGCCGTGCAGTACCTGCGTTCGGATTTGGAAGAAGAATGCGGGGGAATAAGAGATGGAGAGGGAGGGAGGAGAATCGCCCACATGATGTCCACCAGCTTCACCTGCACCGTGCGGTACGTGTGTGTGGGCAGTACCAAAGAAGGGAAGAGCAAGGAGCATAAGACGGCATGAGGACGGGTCGTGGGCATGTGAGCCCGCATGATGTCTCCTAGCTTCACCTGTGCCGTGCGGTACCTGTGTGTAGGTGAAACGAAAGCGGGGAAAAGGGGAGGTGAAGTGGAAGAGGAGAGTTCAAACTCGCCCGCATGATGTCCACCAGCTTCACCTGCGCTGCGCGGTACGTGTGTGCGTATGTGAAAGGAAAAGGGGGAAAATGAGAGATGGGGTGGAGGAGAAAAGCTCAAAATCGCCCGTAAAAGGTGTTGGCACACCCTTACACAGAGTTCCTCACATAGTCACACACACACACACACACACACACACACACACACACACACACACACACACACACACACACTCACACGTACCGTTCCTTAGACCAGCGGCCCTGCATGTCCCTGGGCAGCTTGAGAGGGTGCTTGCACACCCTCACGCATGGTCCCAGACATAGTCACATACTGTTCCCTTACCGTTCACATACCGTTGCCGTTCCCCTTACAGTTCACTTACCGTTCCTTGGACCAGCGGCCTTGCATGTCCTTGGGCAGCTTGAGCAGGTGCTTGCACACCTTCCCACATAGTCCCAGACATAGTCATATACCATTCCCTTACCGTGCACTCAGACTCACCGCTCCTTGGACCAGCGGCCCTGCATGTCCTTGGGCAGCTTGAGCAGGTGCTTGCACACCTTCCCACATAGTCCCAGACATAGTCATATACCATTCCCTTACCGTGCACTCAGACTCACCGCTCCTTGGACCAGCGGCCCTGCATGTCCTTGGGCAGCTTGAGCAGGTGCGCGTCCTTCTTGCCGTTCCTGCTCGTGTCCTTCTCCTTGCCCTCGCCGTTCCCCCTCGTCCTGCTCACCGCCACTGCCGCTTCCTCCTCCTCTACGTCTGCAGCACGTGGGGTGGACGGGTGGATGGGTGCATAGGGGAAAGGGTGGGCGGGTGGAAGTGGGGAAGAGGGGAAGGGGAAGAGGGGGGAAGAAGGGAACGGGGGGGGGGGAGGCAAGGAGGCAAGGAATGAGCAACGATACTCAGCATCGTTGCTTCCTGGGAAATTCAAAGCAGCGATTGCGCGTACTGCGCCTGGTCACCCCACCGGAGGGTGCGCAGTGAGAGGGTGAACGATGGGTTCAAGAAGCAGCAATAAAGAATCCCTGAGCGAATGGTACAGAGATAAGCACCCCAAACGCAATCAGAAGATAGTGTAAAGATGCTGTGGGACAGTGAGAGGGGAAGATGGAAAAAAACAAACAAAAAAGAAATGGAGAGGGGATATGGAGAGAGGATACGGAGAGAGCAGATGGAGAGGGGAAATGGAGAGAGGATATAGAGCCATGTGAACGAGGGCGATGGAGCAGCATCAGCTGGTCTTACCCTCACCGCTGCTGGCAGAGGAGGGCAGGCTGGAAGCATCGTTGCCGGACCCCGTTCTGCCTGCCACCACCACCACCACCGTGCGCGCCTTCTTGCTCCTGCTGCCACCTCCGCCCCGCCTCCTCTTGGGCCATGCCCTTATGTCCACCGCCTCCTCTTCCGCTTCTGCTTCCGCTTCCGCTTCTGCTGCTGCTGCTGGTTCTTCTTCTGCTTCGTCTGCTGCTTCTGCTTCTATTGTTGCATCTCCGTTTGCATCTTCACTTCTGGTTTCAACCACAGCACAATCAGCATCAGCGTCACTATCAGCATCAGCATCATCAGCATCATCACCAGAAGCAGCAGCAGCGGGATGAGCAGGGGGGTGAGAAACTGATCGGCATGGTTTCAGCTGAGTGAGAGCCTCTGCTGCCTCGTCCACACTTGCAAATGCCTCCACTGCTGCTTCCCCTGATTCCCCTGCTTCCCCTGCTTCACCATCCACTCCTCTTGATTCAACTCCGGTCATCATCTCACCTGCTCCTCCCTCCCCACCAATCACCATCACTCTCGCACCAGCAGCAACAGACCCTTCCTCTCCCTCCCCCACGCCCTCTCCCCCTTGCTTGATCTCCTCCCCTTGCTCTCCCCCACACCCTTCTCCCCCAGCAGACGCGCAGGGAGATTTAGAATCCCCAAAAGTGACACAAGCATCCCCAGCATCCCCAGCAGCAGCAGCACCAGCCCAGGGGAACTCGTGCGGGTGCAGCAGCCAGAAGGAGAGCAGGTGCGCCTGGTGCAGGTACTCACTGCGTGGCACAGCGCGCTTGAACAGCCGCGCACACAGGGGATACGTGGGCGGGGAGGGGGAGGTGGTGGGGACATTGCCGAGGGAGGAGATGGCGATGTTTGTGGTGGTGGGCGAGGGAGGTTGGAATTGCAGTGGCGGAGAAGGCAGGGAGGAGGGGATGGTGAAGGATGCATCAAGGTCTGGCCTGCATCCCAGGTGCAGACCCAGCGGGAGAGAGGCTGCAGAAGAGGATCCGTTCATAGCGCCCCTGTGCAGAAACTTGTGCCTCCGCTGCTGCTGCTGCTGCTGCTGCTGATGCTCGAGGTGGTGGTGTTGCTGGGCAAGAAGATTGCTTGTTGCTGCTGCTGCTGCCGCTGCCACTGCTTCTTCTTGTCTTGCTGCATGCATGAATCCAAAGGCCTTGCGGATGGACGCGGGAGAGGGGTACTTGATTGTGATGCTGTTGCCTTCCTTCTTTGACACCTGCACAAGGGTGGACAGGCAGGCGGGCGGACAGATGAACAGACGGACAGACATATAGACGGACACACACTCACAGAGAAAGCTTATGGATTAGGTAAGAAAGCACAACACAAACGGCAGATGTGACAGGCAGGCAGACAGGCAGGCAGGCACAGGCATTGCTGATGCTCAAACTGCCACGTGCAGTGCACGGCAGGCAGCTTGCGTTGCGGGCATGCTCAGTAAAAGAACAAAAACGTCGAATACTCGGATAAAAGCGCCGCATGCTCAATTATAAAACGCCTGGACCTGGACCAACGCGGCAGACGAGGCACACCACGGTATTGTGATAACTGAACTGGATAGCAGTGATGGAAGAACGCCAGGGCAGAGCCCGCAGTTTAAAAGCAAGCAGCAGCAGACAAGGAAGATGTGACCGCCTTTGCTGCGAGTGTAACTGCATGCGGTAGGTATAGCAGCAGCAGCAGCAGCGGCGGCGGCGGCGGCAGCGGCGGTGGCGAAGGCGGTGGCAGCAGCAGAGTGACTCACAACGACAGTGCGAGCAAGGCGAAGGTGGTGCGGAGCATTCGGGGGAAGCTCCGATGCGTTGATCTCATATGCCACCCCCGCCTTCACTTGCAGCCCTCCACTGCCGTTGCTGCTGCTGCTCTCCGCTGCTGCACAGCGACGCATGTGAGAAGGCATGTGAGAAGGCATGTGAGAAGGCATGTGAGAAGGCATGTGAGAAGGCATGTGAGAAGGCATGTGAGAAGGCATGTGAGAAGGCATGTGAGAAGGCATGTGAGAAGGCATGTGAGAAGGCATGTGAGAAGGCATGTGAGAAGGCATGTGAGAAGGCATGTGAGAAGGCATGTGAGAAGGCATGTGAGAAGGCATGTGAGAAGGCATGTGAGAAGGCATGTGAGAAGGCATGTGAGAAGGCATGTGAGAAGGCATGTGAGAAGGCATGTGAGAAGGCATGTGAGAAGGCATGTGAGAAGGCATGTGAGAAGGCATGTGAGAAGGCATGTGAGAAGGCATGTGAGAAGGCATGTGAGAAGGCATGTGAGAAGGCATGTGAGAAAAAGCTACAACCTCGCCTTGAACAAGTAAGTGCTTTTTGGGCCATGCAGCAGCCACAAGCTTGACTTGACTTACCACGTGCAAGGAGGGCGGCTGAAAGAGGCTTCTGCTCCTCTTCCTCATCCTCGTCCTGCTGCTGCTGCTGCTGCTGCTGCTTTGTGGCGTCAGCTGCTTCAGCTGGAGTGAAGTGACGTAGTATCGACAAGAAAGGAAGGGAGAATTTAAGAAAGGACAAAATTATTAAAAGTGAAGCACAGAAACGGACAAGAGAAATGAAAGATTGGGAGAAAGGACAAGCAAACAGAGAAGACTGACTGCAAGTAGGCAAGGAGGTAAGCAGCGTACCTCCTTTGATGGGCAGGAAAGCTCCTTTCTCCGATACATACACATACTTGCACACATACGAACGCGCATTCCCCTGAGATCTGCTGCAATCCATGGTACCATAGACACACACACAGGAACACAGGCTGAGTTTCGGAGAATGAATCAGCAGGCAGCAAGTAATAATCCGTTTCATCGACCTGAGTTGAAAGCGCAACTGACGCTGCAACTGAAATCGCAGCGAAGAGAAGTGCAACGAGACATCTAGGTAGGTGGGGGTAGGAGTTGAGGGGCCCAGCCCATACCCTTGCGAATTCAGGGAGTGGGTGCTAGCATACGCCACCTCACAGGGCTCCCTGCAGACCGCCTCGAAATGCTGCACGTCGTAGTACGTGGTGTCTGCATGCGCATGCAGTGGTACAGGCAGAGAGGCACAGAGAGGCAGAGAGAGGCAGAGGCAGAGGCGCAAGCAGATGTACAGGCAGACGGACAGGAACAGGTACAGGCACAGACAGTAAGCGGCATGATACAGAAGGGATCACATGCGAAAGGTGATGCTTGGGTCCAAGAGAAGAAGAAAAACAAAGGGATCGCACACGAAATCAAATCTCCGTGCGTCGAAGAAAAGAAGATGAAGAGTCGACACGAAAGCAAGCAGATGGATTGTATTTTTCTAAAAAATATGCTCCAAAATTCCTATTGTGAGGATAACTCAGCAAGCAGAGGAAGTAGGCGAGCAGAGGAGGTGGGCGAGCAGAGGAAGTGGGCGAGCAGAGGAGGTGGGCGAGCAGAGGAAGTGGGCGAGCAGAGGAAGTGGGCGAGCAGAGGAGGTGGGCGAGCAGAGGAAGTGGGCGAGCAGAGGAAGTGGGCGAGCAGAGGAAGTGGGCGAGCAGAGGAAGTGGGCGAGCAGAGGAAGTGGGCGAGCAGGGGAGGTGGGCGAGCAGGGGAGGCGTACAGTAGAGCTCGTTGGGCTCTGGAGGAGTGGGTGGCTTGTGTGCCAGGTCCTGAAGTCGATAGTACCTGCATGAGCAGCAGCAACACAAGATTCGAGTCCCGACACACAGAGATACACACAGCGACAAACAGAGGGAAGATGGACGGACACACATAGAGAGAGACACAGCAAAGAGAGAACGAAACTTGCTTCAGCATTCAGTCTTTCTGTCGTTATGAGGGCTCAAAAGGCAACCCTTGGCTGAATGACGGGATGAAGGCGACAGCAGCAGCGGCAGCTCACCAGCGCACGCAGAGGCTCTTGTGTCCACGCTCCTCCAGGAAGCTCTCTATGCGCGCCACAAAGAGGTCCTCCTTGGGATTCTCCGGCATCAAATGCACAAAACCCCCTGCCACGGTGCCATTTAATGAAAAAAAAAAAAAAAAAAAAAAAACACGAGAAAAAAAGTGAAAGTTGACGGCCCGTCCAAACAAGAACGAGAAATACAAAAACGAATCAGACAACAAAAACTGCGAATTTGCTCAAGACTGGCAGTGATTGCACCTAGTCCTGTCTGAAATTTGCGCTTAAAACTGTTCAATGTTGATGCTAGTAATGAGGCATGACACGAATGACGTGACATGGTGTGTTGTTACCTGCTTCCAGATGCATGCAGAAACCGTCTTCAAAGGTGACATCACATGCCGCATAATGACAGCTCCCATCCGCAACACCAACGACAGCATCAGAAGCAGCATCAGCCGCATCGCCAGCAGCAGCAGCAGCACCACCAGCAGCAGCGCCACTGGCAGGAGCCATAGACTCCCCATTCGTCACAGGATCACCAACCCAGCGGACCGAAATGCCGGATTCACCCGCTGATGACGCCATGCATGTGCCACCCTGGAAGCCTGGGCAAATTGCCCAGCTCCAAGCAGCTTGAGTAGACAGCGAAAAAAACCTCCAATCACCAGTGCTGAAGACCGCGTCTTGAGGCGCCGCAGAAGCCTTCTTGGAACGAGACAAAGAGAGAGGACGCAGTGAGAAGAATATCCAGTGGTGCTGAAGTCCAAGAGCTGAATTCTTCTTCTTCCAGAGGCGTGGTGTGACAGAGTAGAGTCTAGAGGTGTGGCAGGGTCTAGACTCTAGAGGTGTGGCAAAGCGCTGATTCTGATTCTTCAAAGATGAATTCTTGGCATTAGCACAGCGCTGCAGATAGCAGTGCGTGCCAGTAAGGGGAGGAACCACAAAAGGCGGTGCCTTCAAGCAGAAAAGGAGCAAGAGAGCTGCTTTGAGCTAGAGCGAGCGAGTGAGGCGAGACGACGGGAAAAAGAGGCAGGCGCAGCAGCTGCAGGAGCAGGGAGAGCGTCGCACTTCAGCCAAGAGACGCGATTTGACTCAAGAATATGAGCCTCGCATAGCCTATCGGCCTGGCATGCGATGGTAAAGGCATCGAATTTGATCGCCCGTCTATTGTCCAACCCGTCCGTCCGTCCGTTCGTTCGACAGTCTGTGTCGCCGGTATGCAAGCGTCACGGCTGCTGCTCCTTGTCTCGTCCCATCCGCCCAAGCAAAAGAAAGAGGGTGGAGCGGAGCCTCGCTAAGTTCCTCTGTTTCTCTCGGGGAAATCGCCGCGAGCGCGGATTCCCACTTGCCAGCCTGGCTCTCACGTTTCTGGGCTCCGCAGCTCCGCTGATTCCGGGACGGATTCGATTGGATGGTGGCGGTCGGATTCGTGACATCAGATGGATCATCCACATGACATGCTGCGAGGTGCGGGGTGCGAGGTGCTGCATACGCGCGCTGTCCCGTCCCTCTCTCGTTCTCTCGCTCTCTTTCTCTTTCTCTTCTCCCTCTCTACCTCTCGCTGCCTCACTCTCCCAGGAAATTGGCCCTTTTCCAATCACGCTCGACGATGCTACTGCTGCTAACCACACATGATACGTTCGGGGCTAACCAGGAAAAGCTAAGAGCTTTGGCGAGACAGGCTCGGGCCGAGCCTGCTGACTGACTGACTGCCTCGTGACCTCGCGACAGGCTAACGTCGAGCGTGTTTGTTTGGTGACTTGCGACCAAGTTCGAGCTACGCGCGTCACCTCACGAGACATCGTGGTGTCATAGTCATAGTCATGTATGCCCCTAACCTCATCGTCAACTGCTGCCATCGCGAATAGCATCCGTCCGTCCGTCCGTCCGTGCGTCCGTCCACCCACCCAAACGTCCGTCCGAACGTCCGTTCGCTGCTGTGGGACAATCGCAATCACGCGGGTCGAAGCTGCTGCCATGCCATGGCGGTAAGGCATCACGCCTAGCCAATGATGCGATCATGGGGACCGTCGCGTACGGGCTTCAAGCTCGCAACTCGTACCTCGCGAATCCAAGCTCCCAGATCGCACCTCGCACCTCGGAGCGGGTAGCTCGCAGCTTTCAGCCTCGACTCTCTCTCTCTCATCGGCGCTGCCGTTTCAACTTGCGGCTTCACGCCCACACTCGTGTGAGTTGTAGTATTCACGTCAACTCGAGGCGCGCCCACGGTCGGTCAACAATTCCCGGTGTACGCAGGGATGTCCCTGTCCGTCGCACGGGCAGGCTGCATGCTGTTCGGCTTTTCCCGCAACGTCACATCCGTATATTCCCCCTTCTCAGGCCCCCCATTCCCCCAGGACTCCCTCTTCCCCCCCACCTTTCCCCCTCGTTTCCCCCACATCCCAACGCCACCACCCCCACCACTTGTTCCCCCACTCCTTGGGGAGAGAGTTGCGATGCATGCCATGGTGGCGAGCCCATTCGACTAAAACCTGGACGGAGTTCCCCATGTGGCGCGCGGCTAAGAGACGATATCCTAGGCGTGGTCACGTCTAAAGGTATAAAAGGGGGGCGGGGAGGGGGGGTTGAGGAGGCGGGGGGCCTGGGGAGGGGGGGAGAGGCGGAAGGTGGTGCGGTTTGCCGTGGCTGCGCAGAACGCTGCGCGCCGGCATGGGATGTCCATTGCGGTGGGGCAGTCTGGGGAATGTCGCATGGCGCGAAGCGAGGCGAGGGGTTGGCTTCGGCAAGGGGCATGCACTGCAGGGCGCAGCGCTGATTATCTTGTGTTCCCTCGCCTCGTCTCGCCTCGCCTTACACACTACCATTGCCGCTCACCTCGATCGCCTCGAATTCAACAGACAAGGGCAGTTGAGTTCGACATAAGCTGGGTCGAATCCCGCCATGGCGTTGCTGTTGTGGTCAGGCAGTGGTTATTGGAGAACATGATACTAAAAGTGTGTTGAGCAGGATACCATGCTACCACACACAAACAGGGGATTAATACATAACAAGAAACATCTGATTATGGTCATATACTATGTTCGTGCTATCATTACCATTATGTAGTTATTTGTATAGCCATATCTACTGACGAGTAAAAAGAATTAGTGTGTTTGATTCTGAAAGTAGAAACATATTTGCAAGTTCTTAATAATGTGAAGCATGATGGACATTCTATGAGCTGATTGTTTTATCAGAGAAAATTGTACCGTCACACCTAATCAATCTTGACTATCGGGGCAGGTCCAGCGCGTACATGTACCGTTCGTTTACAGTCCATCCGTCGTGGTGTGAAACTATATCAGGCGGTGCACCGCGGTTTTCAGTCTTCACCGTTTTGCACCATGGTGAAACCCTAAGCACCGCACAGAATGAGCTGTATAAGTACACTGATGACAATGATCTGTCAAATTTGCACCCATTCCAGTTTCCCAAGCCAGGTTGACTCGCACAGCACAACTGAGACAAGACAGGGACCATGAACGTCTGTTACTGCCCGTTGCACAGTGCAGTAGAACGCTGTTGGCGTGTTGCGGCCGACATGACTTGGCAGTCGACGGTCAGCGAACAAGACCCTTCCCAAGCGTTTCGTTACGTGCTTTCTGTACACTCGCAAGTCCCTTCCTAACTATTCCATTTTATTGAAGACTATTGTTTCAGTTGTACACTCGGGCATGTGGGAGTCTGGCTGAAAACGACAGGGAGGTTCGCGATACAATCGGTGGACTTGGACATTCCACAAATGTTCCCATCCTCTTGACTTCGTCACCACCCACCCACATGCCCAACGGATCACCTCATAGAAGATTTGGCTCCGTTGGAGGTCAAAATTGAGGTTTGTCTTGCGTTTCTGGGTTGTCCAAGAGTTCCCAATAACCTCTGTTTCTTAATACATTTGCCAATCCCACCCCTTTTACCAGAGCCTGGCACTGGACAGATCAACCTCCAAGGCTCCTTCGAATAAGCAAGTTCACAATTCTGCTCGTAAGTGTACACAAATTGCCCTTATAGCGTTGTCTCCTGCCCGCACATATCAACACTGAATTTGAGGACGTGGGCCCAATCGAGTTTGATCGCCTCGATCATACGCGATCAATAATTTCTAGGAAGACTGGAAGCCAATTTCATGCAATCGGGGGCAATCAGCTGATCGCGATCAGCTGATCGCCCCAACTCAATCAGACCCGATTTTCACCCCGATCAGAGTCGATTTTCCTCGATCACAGGCGATCACCTGATTGCATGTAATCGGGGCCCACAGCGACGTTTGCGAGTAGTTACACAGTTGCCGTTACAGTGAAACGAGGATTTTCGCCAGGTGACTTAGGTCGCCAATCTCGCTAGAATGGGGACGAAAATGCGAGGTAAATGTACCGTGCTTGCTAAGCAGACGCTGGAAATCTTCTTCGAAAAACATCTCTGATCGGGCGGCTCGGGCACTGCGATCACAAGCAACCCGATCAGATCCGACCAGATCAGATCAGTCGCGATCAAACTCGATTGGGCCCACGCCCTGAGATCGTCACTTGCCACGTCAGCAGCAAACGGCTCCTATGGCATCACCTGAAGAAAGTAGTAACCGTGCATCCAAACAAGGCATCAGGATTCAGGAGGGTCTTCGGGTTTGGAAGAAACGGCATTTGTGTCGGCACGACAGGCCAGGCTCCTCCACCCTTCCTTCACAACAGTCTCTGATGCCTTTCAACTAAAAACTGCTCGCTTTGCACCGAGACTTGATTTTTTAGGAGGGAGGGTGGCAGACCCAAGCAGCACCTGGAACCAGGACCAGGACTCAGTAGGAGTATGGGAGAAAGACTCCCAAACTTCAGTGTGTGACGGTCTCAAAGTTATTGAGACCGTCTGAAATAAAAACAAACAATACTGGAATCGCATGAAAAGCGAGAGGGATGCGATGGAAGCATTTGGATGGTGCAATTCGCTTGTGTAACGTTGGCGATGAGGCGGGGTGATGCTGCCAACGGCATGATTCTCCCACCCAGTCCCCCTCACTTCGTCGTGTCGTTTCGTCGCCGACTCTCCCTGCACCACCTCAGCAGCTGGTGCGTGCGACGGTGCCCAGCGTAGCGGAATTCTGAAATCCAGTTCGCCGTCCAACGCTCCCACACCACGACAGCCCCAGCGTCCCACCAAAAACAAGACTTCCGTTTGGTCCGTCCTCCTTCCGCCCTTGAGAGGCCGTGGAGGCAAAGCAAGGGGGAAAACCTCCCACCTTGGAACAGCCACCCCAGGTGATCCCCAGCGAGGACCGTGGCGCCGTCTGTTGCGCAAACTTTGCTGCTGGATAATCTTTTGCAGGAGGAAAGAAGCCACCTGTGATAGACACTAATGTTGGCTCACCCGCTCTTATCTCTTGACGCGTAGTCCTTGACCGAAGCCAGATACGAACCTTCCTCAGTTTCACCCATCCCCTTCCGCCAGATTCGCATGCTCACTACCCACACTAGTCAGTTCATCAATTTGCATTTCGGTCACATCACTCCTCTCTGCAAAAAAGAATTGCTCGCAGGCTTGCTCAACTTAGGTCTTTAACCTCGATTGCAGAATTCTGCCGCAAGGCTAAGCTCGAGGGTGGGATTCCACGTCGCACGGCAAGATACGCTCGCTAACTTCTGCACATGCTGAGATTGAGCCCCTCTGAACATCCAAACGTTCCGCCGTGACACGCGGCACTCCGCTCGGCCCCAATGTCAGCCTCGCAATTCTCGTCAAGGAGATTTACCTTTTCGCCATTCGGATCCTAAGAGGCGCTTCCTTTATCCCGCGGACCTTGCTGAAGTTATAGTATTGACCCCTGTTCCTCATGGCGCCTGTTCTCTCCTCCGCGCCGCGGTTATTCGCCGGACTTTCCCCCACCGGCCCCTCCTCCACCTCAGCGCGGCAGCAGCAAGAACCGCTCGATCTTAACGCGCGGCGCCGCCTCGAGATCGACCCGCAGGGCCGCCCGTCTACCGCTTCCGCCGCCGGCGCTTCCCCTTCCGTGCATCCCCCGCATCTGCGGCACCCCGCCGGCCGACACAGCGACCCCAATGTCGTCGCTGCTTTTGCCGCGGGCGCCGCCGGCGGGAGCGCTTCGGCTGCTGCTGCCGCCGGTGGCGGTGGCGGTGGTGGTGGTGGCGTCGGGGTAGGGGATGCGGCAGCGGCGGCGAATGCGGAGAGTGATATGGAGACGGAATTGACGCTGCATCTAGACTTCGACCGCATCTTTCGCAAGGGCTCCAGCGGTCGTCACAGCAAGTCGTTGTCGCTTCCGTCGCACGACTCGCATCGCAACCCGTCGCAGCCGATTCAAGAGCAGCAGCAGCAGTCGCAACCACAGTCGCACTTGCAGCAGCAGCCGCAGCAGGAGCAGCAGGAGCAGCAAGGAGCCAAGCTTAACCACCAGCGATCAGCCGCAGGAGCGGCAGGAAAGGCAGCACAGTCAGGCACGGGACGACAAGGGATCGCAGGAGGTTTTAATAAGATCTGGTCCGCTCTCTCGTCGGGATTGCCGTCGTCTTCGAAAGGCCCTGCGACAGTCCCTGCGACGCCGCCGCTGTCGTCCAAGACTCCCAAGAGCATTCACGAGTGGCCCGAGGACGACGTCGCGACGCCCGGCGACGTCGCAACCCCTGGCGACGTCGCAAACACCGCTGCAAGCACATCCGCGTGGTCTCCTCTTCCCAGAACAGTCGGAGCGCGCGGATTTAACTCAGGAAGCGACTCGGACAGTGAGAGAGGGCTAGTGACGACAATGCCCTCGGGCGCGCCTCGGGGAGCTACTAATATTGGAGCGAAAGAAAGTTCCTTCGGCGGGTCGCGAAGGGATGCACGGCCGCGTGACTTGCGGCGGGACGGCAGCTCCAGCCGCTCTGGCAGCGCCGCGGGGAGCGGCAGCGGCAGCGGCAGCGGAAGCGCGTTCGCGGCAACGGGGGATCTAGAAGCCGAGGCGCGAAGGGTCGCGTTGCCTGAGTCACCTCTGGGCGGCGGACAGGCGGGGCCAGAACGTGCCGACCGCGGCGGGCGCGGCGGGCGGATTGGCGCAATGGTGGGCGCAGTGGCGGTCGCGGCGCTGGGGAACGCCGCGCGGTCGGCTGGCGGGGGACGGCGGATGTTTAAGAGCAAGTCTCTCACCGATCAGCGCTTCCCGCACGCGGCCGCGACGGCAGCGGCGGCGGCCGCGGCGGGGGCGGGGACGGTGGCGGCGGCGAGCGCTGGGGGACCGAGGAATCCCGCGACGGCGGGCGCAACGTCCGCGCTTCCGCCAGCGGCGGCAGGGTCGTCGCGGCGCGCGATTAAGAGCGTTTCGCTGTCCGAGTCCGCCTGGGCTTCCGGCGGCGCAGGCGCGGCGGCGAACTCGGTCCTCGGGGGCCGCCCGCCTGTTGCGCCCACGGCGGCGTCCGGTGCTGCGTCGCGGGGAGCGGCGGACGGCGCAGGCGGAGGCGCAGGCGCAGAGGCGGGTGCGCCGGGGAGTCCGCTGCTGGGCGGAGCGGCGCGCTGGACCTCCGGCATGGGGAAGCGGAAGAGCAAGTCGGGTCCGGTGCGCCTGCGCAAGGGGCAAGCGGCTGCTCTAGCCGCCGTAGCAGCCGCGCGCGCGGCGGGGAGCAGGGGAGAGCTTAGTGGCGCGTCTCCGCCTCCGCGGAGTCTCCTCCTCCGCAGCTTGGACCTGGATGCGCGCGCGCATGAGCCGCGCATTCCGCCGCGCGCGGCGAAGGCGGCGGGCGTTCCGAAGCTGCGGAATGTTGGGGGGAGCAATGGCGGAGATGCGCTGGAGGGACTGGATAATCCCCCGCTTGCCGACGCGGAGATTGCGCCGCCGATGGCGCCGCCGCCACCGGCTGCGGCAGCAGGGGCAGCGGCGGCGGTGGTGGTGGTGGGTGTGGGGGGTGGAGGAAGCGTCGCGACGGACGCGTCGGTGGATGGCTCGGTGAGCGAGAGAGGAAGAGTGGGGGGAGCAGACGGCGGAGGAGAAGCTGGGAGAGGTGGAGGCGGAGGCGGAGGCGGAGGCGGAGGCGGAGGCGGCGGCGGAGGCGGCGGCGGAGGCGGAGGCGGAGGCGGCGGCGGAGGCGGAGGCGGCGGCGAGGGGTCAGGCACTGGCGGAGAGGGAGCGAGTGCAGGCGGGTTCTCTATTCCGCTGCTGCCCTCCCCGACGGTTCCCGCGCCAGCCACGGCTAGCCTTTGGACCCACGGGCTGGGCAGGCGCAAGAGCAAGTCGGGGCCGCTGCGCCCGCGCAAGGCGCAGGCTGGTGGCGCAGGCGCGGGCGGAGGAGGAGGAGCAGGCGCTGGGGAAGTTTCACGCGCGGGGGGGAATCTGAGCGCTGCCCCTCCCGCTGCGTCCCCTTCCCTGGCGGGCGAGGGGCGCCAGCATGTGCGCGAAATGGGGGGAGGATTGGTGGAAGCGGGGGAGGTGGGCGTGAGGGGAAGTGGCTATCTGGAAGAGATGAGAATCAGCGGAGGAGGAGGAGGAGGGGGCGTGCAGTATGGCAGTGGTATCAGTGTTGGTGCTGCTGATGGTGGTGCTGATGGTGCTGCTGATGGTGCTGCTGATGGTGGTGCTGATGGTGGTGCTGATGGTGGTGGTGATGGTGGTGGTGCTAGTGTTGGCGATAAGGCGAGCAAGAACGCGTTTTGGAACTATGGCATGGGCAGGAGGAAGAGCAAGTCTGGCCCGCTGAAACCACGCAGGCGCGCAGCGCCAGCAGCAGCAGCAGCAGCAGCAGCATCATCATTAGGAGCAGCAGCAGGAGTAGCAGGAGCAGGAGGGGGAGCAGGAGGAGGAGGAGGAGGAGAAGGCGGCAGCAGGACCGGACTGGGTGTGGTGGCGGAAAACGTGGTTGAGGAAAGCATGGTTGACGCACGGGCGAGGGCCCGGCGAGCGCCGTCCCCTCCCCCTCGCCTCTTCTCCAGGAGCCACACGGACTTGGGGTCAGGCCTAGAGCGGCAGGGAGGGTGGAAGGCGTTTATCAGCGGCGCTGCATTATCGTCATCATCATCAGCAGCAGCTGTAGCGGCGGCGCGTCCTGCTATGCACTCGCCGCTCTTCTCGCCCGACCCATGGGGCAGCATCCAAGAACCCTCGGATGCTACTGCTCCTGCTGCTGCTGACGCTGCTGCTGCTCCTGCCTCGCCTGTGCCTCGCTTCCCACCTGGCGCGGCTGACTCCGCCTTGCTGCTCCTGCCCGGCATTTCCTCCGCCCCTGCTGCTGCTGCTAACCCTGTTGGTGTTACTCCCGGTATCGTAGGTTCTGCAGGAGGAGGAGCAGGAGGAGGAGGAGGAGGAAGTGGGGTTGTCACCGCTCCCGAGTCTGCTGTTGCATACCACCGTGGCTCTTACGGTGGTGGTTCCTGGGATCTTACTGCTGCTGGTGAGAGTCTTTTCGGAGTTGTCTCAAGTCTTTTTTTTTTTTTTTTGTCGATCGTCTTCTGCATTTTCCTCTTGTCTCTCGACTTCTCTCTATTTTCTCTGGATTCTCCAAACTTACTGGTTGTTGTTCCTGTCCTTTCCGTTGCTGCTGTAGTTGCATGCAACTGCCACTGGCCAATCCCACAGTATTCAACGCTGATAACAAGCCCACCTGCATTCTCTGGGGTATCAGGATCACTCACAGTGTCATCACTTTAACTTGTGACCTCTCGTCATCTCCCTCCCTCCCTCCCTCCCTCCCTCCTCCCCCCCTTTCTCCTCCAGCTACCTACATGAACACCCCAGGCCACTCGCACCGATCATCATTCTCACCATCGTCATCACTATCATCAGCAGCAACGCCGCCATCACTAGCAGCGCGCCCGCGCCCACCACTCCCTGCATCCGCGCACCTCCTCACCCACCGCAACCGCTTCAAAAGCCACTCCATGCCCGGCCCAGACCGCCCCTCGGCTCCCCCGTTCCCCCTCCCCTTCTTCCCCAAGTCCCAGTCCCACCCTGATGAGCATACAGAGCGGTATAAGAACTGGCACAGACTCGTGCACATGGGCATGCACGGGCATGCGCAGGGGGAGCGGGGGGAGCGCGGGGAGGGCGGCGGGCATGGGGAGCGGGGCCGTTCTGAGGGGCTTCAGAGCACGATAGGTGGTGGGGCGCGAGTGAGGCGCAACAGCGACGGCAGTGTGGTGGGCGTGTCAAGGGGCTTTCAGCCCGGGTGCAATCCGCTCATGAGCGCTCTCATTGGGCGAGGCGCTGGCTTTGCCGCTGCTTCTCCTCCTGCTTCTGCTGCTGTTTCCCCTGCTGCTGCTGTGGATAATGCTGTTTATGATGAGGGTGATGAGTTTTCTGCATTTGCTGCAGACGCAACCTCCTTCGATGCGCTTCCAAGCAGCACCAGGGCGAAACAGCCGTGTGAGCTCCGACCCAGCGACAGCAGCGTGGGCACAGGCATGAGCAACCGAGGAAGCAGCAGCAGCAACAGTGGCGGCAACGGCGGCAGCGGCGGTGGCGGCGGCATGAGTGCGAGCTCACCCCCTCCCTGGCTGCCTGCTGAGCTGGCGTCCGTGCATGCAGCATCAGCAGGAGCAGCAGCGTTCCTGAGCGTGGCTCAAGCGCCGGTGGGGCGAGCTGCGTTGCTGCTAGAAGCAGAGTCTGGCCTCATTGTTGCTGCTAGCCATGCTGCCGTTGCACATGCGTTCCCGCTCGCTGCTGCTGCTGCAGCTGCGATGAAAAATGCTGCTGCTTCCGCTCCTTTTGCAGCTGTTGGTGGTGATGATGATGGTTTTGATTATAGCTTCAACCACGGTCCTGTGGCTGGGGTCACGAGCAGAGGTGAAGCGAGGGTGGTGAGCGGCGCTGAAGGGGCAGCGGGGAGGGAGAGGGAGAGGGAGAGGGAGGTGCAGCTGGAGGGGAGGCGAGTGTGGGAGCTGAGTGGGGGGCGGATGCGGCCTCTGGACTGGCACATGGCCACGGAGGCTCTGGAACGAGCCGAGTCTGTCAAGATCAGGTGGGCGCTTGCTTGAAGGGTGTGTGTGTGGGGGGGAGGGGAGGGGGGGGGGGGGGGTGGGATGAGGGGTGGCAGGGAACGGGGGATTGTGTGCCTGTGTGAGTGTGGGTTGGTGGGTGTGTGCGTGTGTGCGTGCGTGCGTGCGTGCGTGCGTGCGTGCGTGCGAGCGTGCGTGCGTGCGTGCGAGCGTGCGAGCGTGCGAGCGTGCGAGATTGCGAGCGTGCGAGCGTGCCAGCGTGCCAGCGTGCCAGCGTGTGTGCCTGTGTGAGTGTGGGTTGGTGGGTGTGTGCGTGTGTGCGTGCGTGCGTGCGTGCGTGCGTGCGTGCGCGCGTGCGTGCGTGCGTGCGAGCGTGCGTGCGTGCGTGCGTGCGAGCGTGCCAGCGTGCGAGCGTGCCAGCGTGCCAGCGTGCGAGCGTGCCAGCGTGCCAGCGTGCCAGCGTGCGTGCGTGCCAGCGTGCCAGCGTGCCATCATCGTCAACTGTCAGTGTCATTGTCAATGCCATTCGCACACCGCATCCCGCCCTCCCCTCCCCACCCGATTGGGAAACCGTGCATGTCTCATGCTGCCCTCCCCATACAAGTTCTGAGCCCCCCGAATGCTTTGGTTCTTCATATCACGTCTCCTCATATCTTCCCTCCTCTGCTCTGCTGCCCTCCTGCTCAACCTTCCCTTCCCTATCCACCCCCACCTTTCCCTCCTCCCCTCCCAACCCATCAGGTTCCGTTTCACATCCCTATCTTCGTTCGGCCCACACTCTCTCCCGCACGCGTCCCAGCCCACTCCTCTCACCGGCTCTGCCTCCTCCTCCTCCGCCGCTCCCGTCGCTCCACCCCTGCATGCGCAAGTGGTAGACCTGCAACTATGGCGCGCTGTACAGGTGGCAGGCAGGAATTGGCTGGTGATGGGATGGCTGGAGGCTGTGGAGAGAGAGGAGCGGGCCCGGCTGGGTACTCTAGAGGAAGGGGGCAGTGGTAGTGGAGGGGAGGAGGAGGGTGATGAGGAGGAGGAGGAGGAGGATGAGGAGGAGGATGAGGATTTATGGGAGAAGGTGCAGGTACGGGCTCAGTGGTACCAGCAACGTGAGCATGGGGTAGAGGGAGGGCGAGGGGAGCAAAGGCAAGGACTGCAGGGGCAGCAGGGGCAGCAGGAGGAGGAAGGGCAGCAGGGGGAGCAAGGGCAACAGGGACACCAGCAGGGGGAGGAGGGGGGCCAGCAGAAGGAAGGAGGAGTGGGGGAGTCGGAAGGAGGGCAGCAGCGGGGTGGGATGTGGGCGGGTAGGCCACGGGGCGGCATCATGTTTGTCGGAAGCTCTGAATCCTCCGCCTCACACAGCAAGTACGCTCAAGATAGTCAAGATAGCCGTAAGCCGGACAACAGCAACTATCAGGACAGCAGCGGCACCTACCACGCTCCTCACCGCTTCCCTCCTCCCCCTTACCACCTCCCTCCTCCCACTCACACCTCCTCCACCCTTGTTGCTGGGATTTCTCCTGCTGATACTGCTGCTGCTGCAGCTGATTTCAGCCCCGACTCACCCATTCCCCTTGCCATGGCTGTACCGCGCCGTGAGACAGCTCCAGCAGCTGGAGCAGCAGGAGCAGCGTTGGTTCATGGTGAAAGCGCTGTCTCGAGTGTGGGGAGTCGGGAGGTGGTGGTGGTGGAGGAAAGGGCATGGCCGGGGATGGAGGTGGCAGGACGAGAGGGAGGAGGATGGCGTGGGAAGGGTTGGGGAGGGCAAGAGAGGGAGTGGGGCGGCAACGTGAGTGACTCTGAATCGAGTGTGGTTGAGGCTGTAGCGGTGGGACCTGGAACTATGGCAGCAGCAGCGGCAGCAGCAGCAGTGGCGGCGGCGGCGGCAGCGGGAGTGGCGGCAACGTCCGCGGCGTCAACAGTAGTTGCTGGTGGTGATGATGGTGTGGGGATGGGAGTGGAAGGATGGTCAGGAGAACTTGCAGCAGAAACAGCCTTAGGTGGAGGAGGAGGTGGCGGAGGAGCAAATGAAAGAGGAGCAGCAGAAGCACCAGCAGTGGGACGTGGGGAGCAGCCGCTGTGGAGTTCCTTTGATCCCACTGCATCTGCTGCTTCCTCTTCAGCAAACCTCTCGCCTCGCCACCAGCACCAGCAGCACCAGCAGCACCACCATCACCAACAGCAGCAGGACCGCCTTTCGCATCTCCCTTGTGCTTCTTCTTCTCAAGACTCACCTTACCACAGTCAGCTGCAGCAGCAGCTGCTACAGCAGCACCCCACTCCTTTTGAGGCGCCTCAAAAGCTGCTACAGCAGCAGCACCCCACTCCTCCTCTCCAGTACTACTCGCCCATATACTCTCCTCAGCAGCCCTCCACCCGTTTCTCACGGCGGCAGCACCACTCTCCTCCCCGCTCTCCCCTTCTGTACTTTGACTCTGTGCCACTGCAGCAAGCACAGGCAATCGGCAGCAGCGGCAGCAGCAGCATGGACTCTGCTGCGATCACAGCCAGTGGCGCTTGCCACGCCCCTGCGGTTCCTCAGGGGTTCATGCCTGCTTCTGCTGCTGTGCCTGCTGCTTCCTCTGCACGGGCTGCTGCGTCTGCTGTTGCAGCTAGTGATGGTGTTTTGAGTAGCAATGCAGCCCCCGAGCAGGATGGACAGAAAAGCCGGAGCAGGGGGAAGGGGAAACGAGGTGGGGCTGAGGAGGAGACGAGGAAGAACAGACAGACGGAAGTGAAACCGGGGGACGTTTCTTCTGAAGCAACTTCCTCTGCCAAGGTCGCCCTGTTGAAGCGCTGGGGCTTGAAGCGAGGAGCGGGCAGTGCTGCTGAAACTGGCACAGGGGAGGCAAGCGATAAGAGGAAATACAAGGGGAGAATCAGAACCGAAGAGAAACGGGGGGTTGTGGAGGGCGATAAAGGTGGCGAGGTGGTGGGTGAGCGAGAGCGAGAAACGGCGAAAGGCAGCCAGAGAAAGAGGGGGCACGAGGGCAGGATGAGCAAGGGCAGCAGGCTGTGGTACGGGCGTGGCAGGAGAAGGCGCGAGGAGAGGGGTGAAGAAGAGCGAGACGCCGCCGCCTTGGGTAGGAACAGGAGTGGTAGGGTTGATGTGGATGTGCTTGGTGCAAGTGAGCAAGAGGAGCGTGGGTGTGAGTTCTGGGATGAGCAGCGGCAGGTATATGAGGATGAAGCTAGGCTTCTGGAGGTTACTGCTGCCACCGCTACAGCTTCTGCTGTTGCTTCAGCTGCTGCTGCTGTTGACACTGAGCATCCGGGCTTGCAGAAATGGCGTTTGCAGCAGCAGCAGCAGCAGTTCAAACGGTTGCCTTCTGAGCAGATGGAAGTTTTGGTGGTGGGATCTCGTGTGAGGGGCGAGCAGCACACGGAAGAGGTGGAAAAGGAACACGGAGGGGTGGGAATGGGACGTGGAGTGGTGGAACAGGAACAAGGTGAGTTGGAAAAGGAGCAGAGAGGTGTTGTGTGGTTGAAGCAGGAATTCGGATGGGGTGGAAGGCTTGGAGGGAAGGATGGAGGCCAAAGGGGGTTACGAGGTAGGGGATGGAGAGATGAGGAGGGGAGTGAGGAGGATTGGTCCAGTGAGGAGGATGTGGAGGAAGAGGAGGGTGAAGAGTGGTCAGAGGCGGAAGATGAAGGAGAGGAAGAGGATGGAGAAGAGGACGAGAAAGAGAAAGAGAAAGAGGAAGTGGAGGAGGAGGAGGAGAACAGGGAATTCATAGGGGAGAGTGCTGCAGCTGTGTATGGCGAGCAGCAGCCTCCACACACAAGAGACTCATGGCAGCCCATACGGCTCGAGCAGCCGCCGGGATCATCCCGCTCTGGCCATGATGCTGCTGCTGGCTCTGTTGCTCGTTTGTACCGACCTCACACGCCCCCACCTCCACGAATGATGCGGCGGTCAGGCAAGCAAGCATTGTCATATTTTGCTGAGCTCAGTGAGCGCCAGGAGGAGGAGGACCTGTATAGCGATGATCCGCCCTGCCATTCTCACCTCCGCCAGCAACAACAGGAGGAGGATCACCACCAGCAGCAGATTCACAATCGTCAGCAGCAGGACCATTTCATTCATCCTTGGGAACAGCAGCAACAGTGGCAGCAGCAGGAGGCAGCACCACACAGCCTTCCCTCTCAAATTGACACCCTCCCCCCGTCTTCCGTATCTGACACGCAGCGCTTCCCTTACCGCCACGTACGGCCACAGCCATTGAAATTGCCATCCTTCCACTCCACACAGCCCGAGCAAGATTCTGTGGCTGCTTTATCAACCAGTCTCTCCTTCCCTCAATCTTCTTCCCTGGACTCGTCAGCAGCTGTCCTTCCAAGCCCAAGTCACTTTGGCCCTAGATCCTGCCCTGCCTCTCTTACTCCATCACAAGAACCGCCTTCTCACTATGCTGCAGCAGCGGCGGCAGCCGCTGCTGCTGCTGGTTTACCTATTTATGTGACTCCTCGCCGTGCCCATCACGAAAGAGGATCGGCCTGGGCGGACCATGACACGACTGAGCCTGGTTGCCGGAATGATCACGGGACTGCTCATGGTGCTGGTCATGCTTCATTGGTTGATAGTAGCGATGAGGCTATGGCTGTGTATTCTGGCAGTGGTGCACCATACGATGCGTGGTAGAGCTAGGTTCACAAGCATGCCAGATTCCCCTCCTTCATCTTGCCTCATCCCCTTCAGGTGTTGTGAATCTTTCTGCATATGACTGTTGTGAAATTGTTAGTTAGGTACAAAGTCTGTCCAGTCAAAAATACTATACCTCATGTTGTTAGTACGTGCTTGTGTTGGCTCATCTCATGACTATACCTTGTAAGCTGGTAACTGGTGAGAGTTGGTGTTACGGTACTTATTTCAGCAGGTCAGACAGGTTGGTTGGAGCATAACTGGCAAAGGACAATGATGCATTTTTCATTAAAATAAGTTAAAAAACAGGGTGCTCCCAGCTGCAGCAGTCAGCAACTAGTCATTGAGAGTGATCCAAGGCTGTATGACAGGCTGATGATCGTGGATTGATCATCGCCAATGTATAAATGTTGCTCTTTATGGTGCGTACGTTCTGAGCTCTTGAATGAATAAATGGCGTTACCGCCTGTCTGTCTCCACCAGGAAACGCTGAAGATCAAGCAGTCCCTTTCAGATCTGCATCCTTCTGCTTCTTATGTAGAATTTCTCGGTACTCTGCCATCAAACAACATACGGTACTCATTAGAAGAACAAACTAAGAGATCAGCGTGTTTGCCCTTGATGTAAGATTCGATCTTACCTTGTTGATGCGGCCACAGCGCTGCGGCATGTCCGTTCAGTGGGCTATCATTGTTGGGTTCTGCATCAGGAAAACAGGCAAAATAGCAGCGTGAGAATTTGGACCCAGACGGATGTTGCATGAAGTTGCCAGCGAACACGAACACTTCTCACCTCCAAGAAGGCTTTGGATGGAGAGGAGAATGGTTCTGACGTCGTAGGCGGATGACCACTTGTCCTGAAACGTGAATATCATGAATGTGAGTGAATCAAGTACTTTATTCTGAACCGAGAAATATGTACTACTCTGGTCAGGAGTGCAACTGACCTTCAAAATGTCGAGGCAGATGTTACCGAACTGGTCCACGTTCGGGTGAAAGCAGTACGTCTCGAACTTGACAGTCGGAGGCTTGAACGGGTAGTCGGAAGGGAATTTCAGGCTGAGCTTGTATGTCAAGCCTTCGTACACGGTTCCGGCAGAGCCCTGGATTGTACCAACCCAGGAGAAGATGTTGTCGCCTTCCGGAAAGGCAGAAACTCCAGGATCACTAGATGTCTGTACATTTAGAAAAGTAAGAAATTAGCGGAGTGCGTGCAATACTTGCAATTGCGATAAAGAACGTGGAATGGGACACCCACCATGAGCTTCATCAACTCTGATTGCAGCCTGCGTCAAGATCCAGAACCAGCAGAAACAATTCAATTAGTCGCTAAATTCAGCGAATGAGTCGAAGGGGGGATTGCATCTAGCTTCGTTCCGCACCTCTTCAACACAGAATGATGGTCGACTGGTTGTGACTGGGTCTTCGCGTTCTTCAGAGATGCTGCTGGGAAATCACCGCCTAGAGAATTCATGGCTGAAAGGAGGAGCGAACCTAAGAAACCTAAAACTCGATACGCGGGAGTACGGGAACGTGGACACAAAAACTGCACCAGCACTTATTGACAGGGAGCCAGTCACCAAAACAGCTAAAGCCAGTCACCAAAACAACGTAAGACAGTCACCAACAGAGCGAGAGCCAGTCCCTTTTTGTGGAGGATGCAGGTGGGTGGAATTCGTGTTGAGGGGAGGGGAGGGAATGGCCTCATCACATCGCCAACATCCAGTGGTTTCAGAAGAGTCCTACACCAGACCGCGTTTGAATCTGAGAGTCTGACACCCCGCCAGGTTTGGAGGGACCGCGCTCCCTGCTGAGCCTGCCACTCGGTGCGTTTCGGGCGGGCAACTGCAGAACGCGTGTAAGTACACGACTGCTGAAATCTTCTCTTAACGGATAAAGAATATACTAATTAGATATATTGAGTCAATAATAAAGGCTTGAAGAAACGCCACCTGGTTGGAGAGTACATGTGCATTACTTATTTTTATTTTGTTTTGCAAAACAAATCTCTGCGCATATCTAGTTGAAAAAAACGTGTTTCTAGTCTCATGCTTACACCAATGTCAGCTAGTTTGGTACTCCACCAACTGACACTTTTCCTTCCACCCCTCTCCTGCATCCACATCCTCCAAAATCCTTACCACGTTTCGAACCTGCTGCCGAACATTCACCTCAACATACGACCCCCCTATATAGTCCACGCCTGTCGCTTTCCCCTCGCTCTCCTCGTCTGATTTCGTCCTTTCTGCTGTATCCGGGTCGTCAAACGGGTCTTGGAAGTCAACCACAGAAACATAATACGGCAGGCCAAGGCCTGTGGCCAGTGTCTGAAACCGCGGGCTGGCGCTAGCAGGATCTTCAGCACGCCATGGCTGCATCCACTCCAACACTGGTGTTCCTTGCCGACACGCCACGATATGAGCAAGGAGGTCTGAGTGTGGGGCGACGACAAGAGCTGCTTGGTAGAAGCGTGGCCAAAGGTCGGAGACATTGTGCCTGCCATCATCTGTGATAACGTCCACAGGAAGTGATACTTGCTGCCGAAGGGACGAAACAAACTCGTCGAGATTTCGCACCTGTGGAAACAAAAACAAATTCAGATTGTGGAATTGGAGAAAGAACAGGGAGGATGATGAGGCATGGTCGTTACAGTGGAGCAGCGTTCAACGCGCAACTAGCCGTGCAGCTGTAACAAGGAAATTGAATTGAAGCAACCATATAAAGCTCACCTTCCGGAACCAATGGTTCTGGACCACCACAATAGTGCCATTTTTAGCCACCTCCTTCCCAGGTGCATCTGCTACAACCTCTCGAAGTGCCCTCCTCCTGCTGCTGCTTTCCAAGCTCTTCTTATTCTTTGCCTTGGCCTTTTTCTTCTTCTTCTTCACCTTCTTCTTGCTGCTCTTGCTTCCTGTAGCACTGCCGCTTGCCACACTATCACTCTCATCACTAGTATCACCACCTGCACCTCCTCCGTCCTCACTCCCTCCATTGTTGTCAATGCCAGCGTCACCACCAGTGCTTGTGCTTCCCTCCTGCCCTCCTCGCCCACTCAGAAGCTCGTGTATAACTCTCCTCAAGTTGAGCAGCAGAACCCCATCCAAAGCTCGAAACGGAGCCCGGCAGGGGGGGTCCATGAGATACATCCGGTGCGCATAGAGGTCCCCAGCAACCAGACGATCAGGTGAGATCGAGAGAAACGAGAGCATGGAAGGCAGGTAGTGCGGGTACTCCCCCTCCCCTCCTTCCAGCCCCCGTACGTGTATCCTGATCGACTGATCCTGCAGCAGCTGATCCCTCCAGAGGGCAATGCGAGTGAGGCACGTAGTGACTGCTGCAACAACACCATCCTCCTCTGCATCTGCCACGAAGACTGTGCGCACTGCATGCTCAGCGCCCCACCGCCAGTCTGTTCTCACTCGTAGGAGCTCAATGGGGCGGTGGCACTGCCCTAAGCGCACGTCAAGAGCAAGCATCCCGTCTTTCAGCTCCAAGCCTCCCCCAAACCCACCCGCGCCCCCTCCCCCACTCCCTCCATCACCAGTGCCAGCACCTTCACCCTCACTGCTGTCATCATCTCCTCCCTTCGCTGCACCGCTGCTCCCCTCGCCGCCCCCTCGCGCCCTCCACCCCACCCCGTAGACCTCCCCTGCAGGCGTAACAAACGCCTCTT